CAACTGTTACCTTGTTAATATAACCCTTTTCCAAGTACTGAGAAACTGTACTGTCATAATCTTGTGCAACAGTTTCTTTTCAGTACTAACCAGCCTGCGATAAGCCATATCATGGTTGTTCGGTAAGCTTGGAGCCTCCTCCTTCCATGGAATACCAACCTGGTAACTACCGTGATGATATACCAAGCATTCCTCTGCTTTGGAAAGGGCTCTCTTGTCACATTGTTTGATAATCTGAGCAGGATTCTTAACTTCCTCAACATCCCAAAAGGATTTCACCAAGTCTGACAATTCTGAATTTGGGCTGTGTGTGAAGTTTGTCAGAGCACAATATGATGGCTGTCCATCATTGTGACCTACATTGCTAATACAAGTCCACCCAAGTTGAGTCCTGCCACAAACATCTTGGTATGAATGATGCAACTGTAGATCAGAAGATCGACCACTGGATGTCTGGCAATAGTTGGAAACCTGATGCCTCGCAGATGATTCCACTTATTTCTGTCTGTCTGTCACTTTCAAATCACCTGTAACCCTGTTTAAGGTGAGAGCAGACATCTGGATATTTACTTTCCCATCCAAACTCTCAATACCGAATTCTACAGGCTTTGTTACAAATGTGTCTGTTTTCCCATTTAGTACACTGACAGATACATGTTGTTGTGTTCCTTGCAAGATGTTGAGTGAGTGAGTTAAAGTTTAACGTCACGTCAGCAATATTTCAGCCATATTGTGACGAAACAAAATTTGACATTAACAATATATATTAAGCTATATAAAATTCTGCCGACGAAGGGCAGTATAATAACCAGCATATAATAACCAGCATATCACATTGCAAGCTGTTGTGGTGTTCACTGATGTATGACTGCTGCTTGCATCATCAAGTAATGCATTTACATACATACTTCTCTTGCCATATCTAAGAACAACTTGGAGTGCTGTTAATGTTGGTTGTCTTGTTGATTAATGCCGCACTCAGCAATATTCCAGCTATATGACGGCGTTCTGTAAATAATCGAGTCTGGACCAGACAATGCAGTGATTAATATCATGAGCATCGATCTACGCAATTGGGATCAATGACAGGGATAAATGACATGCATCAACCAAGTCAGCGATCCCGTTAGTCGCCTCTTACGACAAGCATAGTCGCTGAAGACCTATTCTATCCCGAATCTTCACTGGCCGAGTGCTGTTACTGACGTTTCAGGGGCTGGTACTGTCGTGTGTACCCTCTCTTTTGTTACTGATTGAGAACAGGACTCTGATGAAGCATTTCCTGAAGCCTCAGGGACCAAAACTTCATCAGTGCTAGGCTTAGACATTTTGTTTTTAAGTTGTGGCCTATTTACCGTGGTGTCATGCAGCAATCTGTTGTTGGTTCTTTAACAACCGTTAATCCCACATTGCTTTATGAACTTGCACTGTGAGCCCAAGTGAAATTGACCTAAACATCGGAAACAAAGTTTGTAATGCTTTGCAAAGTTCCATCTCTATTCACCAGTCAGGCCCTTAAACACTTTACATGGCCACAGTGCATGTTGGTTTCCACAACAAACGCATCCACTGGTTGTATTACTAACAAGAGTTACTGATTTACTTTGACCAGACGTTTTGCCCAAAAGACAATGGACGGTCTCCGAGTCAATCGTTTGATACTCTGCCTCTTGAAGAACCCATTCCCTAAGAGTCACGACAGACTCCTGCATATCCCTTTCATACTGTTATACTGTGCAATCAGGGGTTCTGTCATTTGTTTAAACAATGTTGCATACAACAAACCATTGCCAAGCTCTTCGATCCTGTCAGCTTCCTTTACGTTAGCTACAGCAATGTCGAGATCGTCAGCGAAGTTATCAACATCTTTGGCACAGCCTTGGTTCCAGCTGCAAAGCTACCCGGCGCCTTTTGCCACCATACTTTCGTTCCAGGCGTTCTAAAGCAATGTCATGTGAAACAGCACGATGACCTAGCTAACCCCTGAATGACCATTATTGCTGCACCTGATAGATATTGCCTGAACTGTACTCTGCAGGTGACGGAGCCTGGTCTACACAAGAGAGAAAGGCAGCTTTCCAGCTTTCATACTGTACAATATCACCTGACAATACTGGTATCGAAACACGATTAAGTTGTTTTAACATATCTGTGCCAATAGCATGAAAATGGGAAATGGAAGGGTTCGACAAGTCTGCCATTTGAACAGGATCTATATTTACAGGTCTCCTGTTTGGTGAATGGGCTTCCCGTCTATCCACATTTATGGTCTGAAATGGACCCTCAGTTTCAACAAGTTTAACCTCAGTTGGCTTTCTACTAGTTTGTTCAGAACCCTGCTTAAACACCCGAGAGAGTCTAGATAATGTAGAAACATCTGTCCTGCTGTCAAGAAAATCCTGTGCATACGCAACGACTTCACTAAATTCTTCCTCAATCAGGCACATCTCCTGATCAGTCTGGACTACATTAGCCTATTCAAAGTCCAAACAAGCTGCCAGAGTTAGGTCTGTCATGATACCTATGGCTTTTGCCTGAACTGAGTCAACTTGTGAAATACCATCCCTAACCTGCCTACGTGAGGGATCATCTTCACCATCTATCAAGCCATACAACTTTTTCTTTGCTTTTGTAAATGTGGACTTAACATTTGTTTATTGCCGTTTAAAAAGCAAAATCTTTTTAGTCCAATTCACGGGTGGCCCAGTCGTCTAAGGCCCCGAGATTCGCTTTGCAGAGTTGCGTCACTTGGGCACGCCAGAAACCTATGATTGTGGGTTCGAATCCCGGTTCGCCCCAATTATGTTTCTAGGTTTGTCAGCACCATACCCGTGCTCGTGGGTTTCACCGAAGTGGTAAACGTCTGGGACCTGTATCACTTCAGGCTTTCCTCCAACATTAAGGTGACACGCAGCGATATAACTGGAATACTGTTAAAAGCGGCGTTAAAACCCAACCCACACACTCACACTCACACTCACTAGTCCAATCCACCTATTGGATTGAAATCAGGTTCAACGGACTTTACACCACTGCTTTCAGTGGGTTTCTTGACTGGCTCAGCCAATCTTGTTGAGCACGCTTAGTCAAGTACTTAGAAACGGTGTAACATTTACATTTCTATACAAATGCACACAAAAACACTTACGAGAAACTGAAAACTAGCAAAACACAACCTAATAGTCATTTCTGCGTTAGGAATCTATCTTGCATTTATAATGACATGATGCAACTATGGGTGAGCAGTCACGCTCTGCTACCATAAAATGAGCAGAAGAAACCCCTCAAATGAAAACTATAATATACTGGAAACGGAAATTCAACCCTTTTAATAAACCCACAAGATATTTACAATAAACACATTATGTACAAATTGAACTTCCCTGGTATGAAAGTATGCACTTGGAAGTATAACCCTAGTAGGGCTCTGAAAACTCGCAAGCAATGAGTAGGAGCATCTCTCGATGCGTCCTACTCCTATCAGCCCCAAATCTCATCGCACCCGTCCAAGCAGTCACGTGTTCATTCAACCCGCCAAGGAGACATACGAATTCCGCGAAGTAGGTTACGTTCGGTCGATTCCGCGAAGCAGGTGCGTTCGAAAGATGTCCCGGTAAACCTGTCCAAGAACACCTTCTGAACAAAGATACTTCTTAGTGATGAAAAGAAGAATGTCTACAGGAGGATTAAAGAGACTGATGTGATGATCATTGATGAGATAAGCATGTTCAGTTGAAAAATATTTGAACAGGTAAATATGACATGTATTATATGTATAAACTCCAAACTTAACCATCTTCACAGTTCCATCACAAATCATAATATTAATAGAGTTTAAAACTAGACATGTAATCCTCAACATACCATAACAAGGGTATTTTTTAACATGTTAAAATGTAGGAATTGTTCTCATTAATATATGGCAAGTCACAATATTAATATACTTATTATAGTAGCTAAGACAATGTTTTTTTCAAGTGTGTCATTGATTTACACAGTTCTTACTTCTACTCAATGTGCTTTCAGATGGAAGCAGAAGACTTCCTCTGTTCACCATGTGTGTAAATGGACAGCGACAACTTTATCATTTCCTGGGATGTATGTCAGATCCACCTATAAATTACCACCAAAGACAATAAATACATCTTAATTGTGCACCCCACCCCCCACCCCTTTTCAAAAAAGCTGTATCCGCCCCTGTAACCTGTAATAAATATTTACCAATTGAAGAAAATATCTGATGTCATTTTTTAGATGCTGCTGATTCTCCAGATAACTGTCTTCAAATTTCGCGCAAATTTCTTTAATTAGAGCGCTGCGTATTTTCAGCCAATCAGACGGCTCGCTCGATTCTGCCCGCGTTGGAAATCTACTTCCGCTCGGGGTTGGTAACATTTTCCAAGCTCGCGAAATAAACTGTCGATATTTCGGTAAGTAAGGGACATTAATCGAAAGTCGATGACTTGTACATGTGTAGAAATGTATTATCGATCAATCTATGGCCAGAAATGCGCTTGTCAATCAGCTTATAATTAAAAAAATCGCCGTGGATATCGAATGTAAACAAACCGGCAAGATGGCGAGTGAAAACTCCTTTTCTCTACTTACATATAGGAGGTATATATTTTTATTAACTGACCAATAACGATTTCGTGTGTGGAAACTGGACAAGTCAGTTAACTCTCTTGCCCCGGGAAGATGCCGATACTTGCCGTAAAAGGCAACTATGCTTGTCGTAAGAGGCGACTAACGGGATCGGGTGGTCAGGCTCCCTGACTTGATTCAATGATTGATAAATGTCATCAATCCAAATTTCTCACGATGTCAATCACTGGATTGTCTGGTCCAGACGCGATTATTCAGCTGTTATATACAGACCGCCGGCATAGAGCTGGAATGCTGCTAAGTGCGGCGTTTAACAAAAAATAAACAAACAAACTGCTGTCAGATCGGCTTGGCTTATTGTCACAGCATGATTGCATTCCCCTTCATTTTCACAGACAGTGCACGTGGAATAGCTTAACTTGTGATGTCCAGTACAGACGAGGAAAATGAACACCATCTGGTCATGGCCACTTCCGGTGAGCAGTCTGTGGGTCACGTGGCCACTTCCGGTGAGCAGTCTGTGGGTCGTGTGGCCATTTCCGGTGAACAGTCTGAAGGACATATGGCCACTTATGGTGAGCACTCTGTAGGTCACGTGGCCACTACCGGTGAACAGTCTGAAGGACATATTGCCACTAATGGTGAGCAATCTGAACTGAATAAGAGAGAGATTTTGGTTGGCCATTGACGTGATGAGGTCTCTGAGCAGCCATGTTTTCAATGTCATAATTGAGGCTCACAATTTTTAAATGACAAACAAATATCTGGTTTTGTAGCTGAGAAAATACCTCATCTCGTTATAAATCTTATTTGGGTGATCATGGTAATAATTTACTTACACTGTTTATACTTGTTGAACTGTGTGTGTAGAATCGTACCATGATTCATGATTAACATGTTTTGATCACCAACAATTGTTATTGACAGGGTAAGTTTTAGAATTTAAAAAATGCAAAAGACCAATACAGCCAAAACTTCAGAATAATGTACACCCAACTCTTTAGCACTGTAATTATGTTAAATGGAGTTATTCAGTGTGGGAAAAAAACAACTGATCAATTCAAATGTTGGTTACCATGGTTACCAATGATTCCTCATTATTGGTGTTGACAGGTGACCATCCTTCAGGGGTCTCCCAGGTGGCCAACACTCTGAACATCATCACTGGACAGGCCGGACAAGGAACACTTGGGAGAGGTGAGCATTCATGGCTGAAGGGGTCTGTAGTCTACTAGATCTTGTGCAAGACTCTTACCATTCTCAGAGAGCAAATGGTGCCTATGTTCAGTAGGAATGTTATTTCCCTGGTCCAACATGTCATCCTTATGTATATATGGGTGATGAAGGAACAAAGAGTATACAGACTCCTAAATATTGACAATGATGTTGTGCAATCACTTAACAATTGTCAGATAGCAGATTGGTGCTTATTTCTAAGTCCAAATGATATTTCCCGATGATGTGACCCCTAAGAACGTGTTGTCTTCACATGGATCCGTATTGTATCAGAGTCAAACATCAGATTTCAATTTGATTGAATTTGTTCAGGGGGCTTGAATCTGGCAATATTGCAAACGTTGCAATTATTAACAAGTCTGATTGAAGAGGGATGTTATATATTAATAAAGTTGTTGTTGTGTACACTAAATCAGGAACAAGTTCGTATGAAAAGCATTGTTACCCAACTGACGTCGTTTTCTCTATGTTTGCAATTCAGTGTGTATCAACAACTGATGCCACAATGCCAAGCACCCGTCACTGATCAAAGATGGTGATGTTCAGTGTTCAGTTTAAAGTACTGTGGAGACATAAAAAGTTGAAATATTTCATTTCGAGAAAATTCTGATGAAAATTATGATCCCAATCAATAAGACTAAAAGATGTTCCTCACATTATACAACGGGTATATATTTTGTTTTCTTATGTTTCATTCCAAGTGTTGATAGTACCTGTAAATAGTTTTCATTCCTCCACAGGTACGCTTGATTTGCGCACAGATGAAGCGAAGAAGGTTTTTCTTCCAACTAAACCCTACAAAGACATGAAACGAAAATTGAAGGAATTTGGACATGTGACCATCTGCGGGGCTTCAGGAGAAGGCAAGACAACGATGGCTCTTGTGTTAGGGTCACAGTATAGATGCAAAGGCTATGAGGTCGTGTTTGTGGACAACATTGAGAAGTTTGACTTAGACCACTGTCTTAGTAGACACCCCAGAGTATTCCTCATAGTAGATGACATGTTTGGTACTGTTGGATTATCTGCGAATACGACACAGGTGAAATCCTTTCTAAACAACCTTCTTCCTCATCTAGAACAAAAGCGGACAGCACAAACATTGCAGCCAGAAATGCATGAAAGCACTGCTGCTGTTGATAAATCCAGAAAGAAAGTGCAGAGTCAACCAGAATGTCAAACAAAGGATATTCGTGTGATCTTCACATCAAAGTCGTACAACTTCCATGATGGACTTGCAAAACTGCAGTATGAGGGTTTCAAACTGTTTAAAGGTCAAACTGTAATGGATTTAACCACACAAGATAAATACTGGCTTTCTGACAAAGAGAAGAAGAAAATATTTGAACGACATAGGAATGCTCTTGGTGACTGCTCCATGCAACATATACCTGATTACAGTGAGCTGGAAATCTGTTCAAATGTCTTTGGATTTCCTCTTATTTGTAAACTTTGTTTTGAATTTTCATCTTTCTACAAAAATGCAAAATCTTTTTTCAAGGAACCTCTGTTTTATCTCAGGCTAGAACTAAAGCATTTGCTTGAAGAAAGAAATGACCGATCAGCCATTCTTGTTCTGATGCTACTGTGTGAAGACAAATTGGACCTGACCAAGTTAGACAGTGAAGGTGAGGATAAGGAAATGGACAGCCTGGTCAAAACTGTTTTACAGCTGATGTCTGACGCTACACGTTCAGGCATGTACAAAGCAGCTAAAGGTTTGAGAGGTACATTCTTCACAAGAGGAGACACTGTTGGATTTGCTCATTCTTCAATCTATGATGCTTGTGCCTGTGCCTTGTACAATATCAGTCCAATCTTTGTTTTGAAGCACTGCAGTGATGACTTTCTGTTTGAAAGGGTGCAAGGTGAAAAGGTTGAAGAAACCAAAGTTGATGATTATCTCCATTTGATATATGTCTCAGAGAATTATGATAATGTACTTACCACAAGGTTTGCACAGTCTATCAAACAAGGACAGTTTTCTAAATCAGTGTCACATCCAATTCTCAAACAAGACGCCACAGTTTTCAAGCTGCTCAACAAACTTCAGTGTGATCGGACAAAACAGCTTCATCAGCATAATCAAACTGATTCTGAGGAAGAACCTTGGTTTCACAAGAAAGAGAAAGGACTATGTTTTCTGTACTGGGCAGTTCTTGGACATAATGCACGTCTAGTTACAGATATGGAACACACAACTGGAGAAGAGTTCACCCAAGGAGAGATCAGTGAGGCCATGGAAGGATGTGCACAAAGCAACAACGTGACAGCATTGAAATGGCTGTTCAGCAGGAGTGAGAAACATGACCATCAGTTGACACTGAACAGACTTTTGTTGGTAGCTGCTGTAAATGGCAACTCTGACATACTAGTGTATCTGCTGCAGGAAGGCGCTGATATTAACACAAGTGACAAAAACATGCAAAACATCTTCCATCTTGTCAGTAAATCTGGAATAGAAAAAACCCTGAAAGTCCTGTTAACCAGGAAACCTGGGAATAATGTTATAAACTCTGTTGATGTGAATGGCAGGACCCCTGTCATGGTTGCAGCACACACAGGATCAGAGGGATGTTTTAAGTTACTGCAGACAATATCAAACTTGAATTTGAAAGACAAATATAGCTTCGAAATCATTCATCTTGCCTGCATTGGTGGTACCAAGGCTATAGTACAACATGTCCTGTCTCCTTCTAACATCAACAGTAGAGGGAGGCATGGATGCACACCAGTAATGGTGGCAGCTGTCAGTGGACATCAAAGTGTGTTTGACCTCCTTGTGTCCAACCAAGCTTACCTCACACTGGTGGATACAGATGATAATAGTTTACTTCATCTTGCCTGTCGTGGTGGAAACACTGCTATAGTACAACATGTCCTGTCTCCTTCTAACATCAACAGTAGAGGGGGGCATGGATACACACCAGTAATGGTGGCAGCTGTCAGTGGACATCAAAGTGTGTTTGATCTCCTTGTGTCCAACCAAGCTGACCTCACACTGGTGGATACAGATGGTAATAGTTTACTTCATCTTGCCTGTCTTGGTGGAAACACTGCTATAGTACAACATGTTCTGTCTCCTAATATCAACAGTAGAGGGATAAATGGATACACACCAGTAATGGTGGCAGCTTTCAATGGACATCAAAGTGTGTTTGATCTCCTTGTGTCCAACCAAGCTGACCTCACACTGGTGGATACACATGGTAATAGGTTACTTCATCTTGCCTGTCGTGGTGGAAACACTGCTATAGTACAACATGTTCTGTCTCCTTCTAACATCAACAGTAGAGGCAGACATGGATACACACCAGTTATGGTGGCAGCTGTCAGTGGACATCAAAGTGTGTTTGATCTCCTTGTGTCCAACCAAGCTGACCTCACACTGTTGGATACAGATGGTAATAGTTTACTTGATCATGCCTCTCAGGGTGGGGACACTGCTATAGTACAACATGTCCTGTCTCCATCTAACATCAACAGTAGATGCACACATGGATACACACCAGTAATGGTGGCAGCTGTCAGTGGACATCAAAGTGTGTTTGACCTCCTTGTGTCTAACCAAGCTGACCTCACACTGGTGGATACAGATGGTGATAGTTTACTTCATCTTGCCTGTGAGGGTGGAAACACTGCTATAGTACAACATGTCCTGTCTCCTTCTAACATCAACAGTAGGGGGACGTATGGATTGACACCAGTAATGGTGGCAGCTTTCAATGGACATCAAAGTGTGTTTGACCTCCTTGTGTCCAACCAAGCTGACCTCACATTGGTGGACAAAGATGGTAAGAGTTTACTTCATATTGCCTGTCGTGGTGGAAACACTGCTATAGTACAACATGTTCTGTCTCCTTCTAACATCAACAGTAGAGGGACGCATGGATACACACCAGTAATGGTGGCAGCTGTCCATGGACATCAAAGTGTGTTTGATCTCCTTGTGTCCAACCAAGCTGACCTCACACTGGTGGATACAGATGGTTATAGTTTACTTCATATTGCCTGTCAGGGTGGGAACACTGCTATAGTACAACATGTCCTGTCTCCTTCTAACATCAACATCAGAGGCAGACATAGATTGACACCAGTAATGGTGGCAGCTGTCAGTGGACATCAAAGTGTGTTTGACCTCCTTGTGTCCAACCAAGCTGACCTCACACTGGTGGATACAGATTGTAATAGTTTACTTTATCATGCCTGTTATGGTGGAAACACTGCTATAGTGCAACATGTTCTGTCTCCTAAAATCAACATTCGAGGGACGCATGGATGCACACCAGTAATGGTGGCAGCTGTCAGAGGACATCAAAGTGTGTTTGAGCTCCTAATGTCCAACAAAGCTGACCTCACACTGGTGGATACAGATGGTCATAGTTTACTTCATCTTGCCTGTCGTGGTGGAAACACTGCTATAATACTACATGTCCTGTCATGGATACACACCAGTAATGAAGGCTGTATTCCATGGACATAAAGATGTGGTCGACCTCCTTGTGCAGCACAAAGCTGACCTCACACTTCTAACAGACAGTAATGAGGACATTGAATGTGTAGCTCATATGGGTTGACACCCAACACTTACCAGTTATCTTCAAACTGTGAACCATCCACACTGATTAAATATCGTCCTATCAAACAAATCCACAGGACTGTTCTTTCCCATGCTATACGTGCACCTTCAAGTGCGGATACACCGGTACGGAAAAGGAAAGATGCAGAGCCTTTTAAAGAAATAAATGCTTTCACAGGATTCAGGAAACAATGTGCATTTGAAAGACAACAATTATGCAATCGTTTCCATGACTGAGTAGCGAAGCAAATCAAACTGGCTAATGAAAATCAAGGGCGGGTAATTTGTGATCACGAGTTTTGTGTTTTGGGGACAGGTGGTAAAGACACTGCAAGTGACAACAGATCACGTTGACAATATGATGAAGCAGAATAGTTTGTTTCTGGAAAATGACATATCGCAGGTGACTCAAAAACCTACACTTTTTATTGTATGGCAGGTTGTAAATCTGAACAGAATTGAAATGACCTAATAGATATGACTTTAATGAGATTACCATTATTGATATGTTGGCTGTAGGAGCAAAGTTTGTAACATTTCCTATTTAAATTAGGCCGGTCAGGGTGCTGCTTAATATATTTGCTTGGTTTTGAGGTTCGAGTCGCAATTAGCTTTCTTGACACGCACTTTTGACAGGTATTACAGACTTCATAGCTTTATACCCCTAGGATGTTTTTACATATGATTAGATGACATGAGAGGTTCAAAAAGCCTGTGTATTTGAGTATTTATTAATGGAATTTCATGTATCTTAGTACATGTGATCTCTGAGGCGGGGGTCTCGATCACATTAACTTTTGGTGACCTACATATAAGGTGACCTCCATATAAGGTCAAGGTCACTAGAGGTCAAATAATGAAACATGGTTCAAATGTCTTGAAATTTTGTATAAACTCATGAAAAATCAAGGTTTATATAATCAGTTAAGATGGACTTTATAACTCTGAACAATAAACTCTCATCATACTCTGCAGCTATGATGCCTCTGATGTAGTCAACAATGTTTGTCCATCAAAATGACACCATGAACAGGCCGTCTGGCTCAAAGGTCTGTCTCACATAGGCGGTTCCTCGCCATTTGGACTTAATTCTTAATCAAGCCTGGTACGGTGGATGCTGGAGGTTGCCATTGTGAACCTTTGCCAAAGTTGACATACCCGAATGTTGCGGTCTTGGGCTGTGGGGGTCATCGTCCAGATAAAGAGGTCACGTAAACGAAAACCCTGCACTTTCGTGGACCTTGTGTTCATGTTTAACATGCAGATCACACACATACATGGTCACATGGTTTGCGTTTTGGAGAATTTGCATGTTTGTAGTCTGTATTTTGCCTTAAGGCATCTGTAACAATAGTGTTATGTTTGGATCACCAAATACCTGTATATTCATGATTCATGTGCGATATGGCTGAAATATTGCCGATGTGACTTAAAATTAACTCACTCACTCACTCACTCATGATTCATGTATCACAATGTGTAAAAGTCCGACATTGTAGCAGTTGTTGGTTGAAGTCATTAGCACATTTCATTTTGTCTGTGTCTTTAATCAAGGAATTGTACTTTCATTAAAAATGTGTGTTCACAATGTATCTTGAACATTTATATGTAAATAGAACTTGACAAGACTTTATTAACACATCTTGATCGTTCATGGTTAAGATTGAAGGTCAAGGTTAATAAACCAGATGTGCTTGTGATGTAAGGCAGCTAGAGGCATAGGACTTTCAAGATTTCAAGGTTGTACTGCATTGCATGTGTTTTCCCATAGTGAAGTTATGTTATAAAACAGAAGTGCTTAGACCTTGGTTATTATGGTAGAGTAGCATGGGACTTTCTGTTTCAAAGTTGTACTGTACTGGGCATGTGTGCAGTCAGTGCCTTAACTGATGTCACTATCAAAGTGGCAGGTTATTATGATTTAAAGATCTATAAAGGTATATTTGAAAAAGTCTAACAATATCTGTACATCTTGTAACCTTAATGTTGTAGAAAATGAGTATCATTTTATGCTTGTGTGTAAACTTCTTCAATTAAGAAACAAGTATATTCCAAAGAAGTTTACATCTTACCTCAAATATTACTTTATTACAAAATATTGCATTGTACATACACCATGCATTGTTAGTCAGAGGAAACACGCATACCCTGTAAATACGTGGAACTATGGGCCTATGGCCTTTCAGTTTGCAATGAAAAAACAATTTGAATGTGTGCAGTCAGTGCCTTAACTGAAGTCACTATAAAGTGATTCACCATATATGTTTTTGTTGGGAAAGTTCTGGGGCTTCATGAAGAGGTTTGCATGTAATGCAAACACCTTTCCCGCTCAGCATGTATAATCTGTAATATATTCACTTGTAAAATAATTATATTTTTAAATGATTGATTGATGCAATTAATATGAACAAGTTTCCTTTCAAGTTGTGTTATGTTTACTTTTCAACGCTGGAATATGTGTGTCATGACATGTAAACTATTTCTTGTGTGTAAGAGTATTGTATTAATGCTTTTGTTTTCAAAATGCTTGTAGCATCTTGACATTAAATTATTTAACTCATGTTCACTTCTCAACATCAAAAGCATTCATCAACATGACAAAGAATAAACTAAGTCAAATCTCTCGGAATCTGTGATCAAACAACCAGTTATTGAACATGTTCAAGCAGGTTGAATCAGAATATGTTGTCTGTGCATCACTGTCAATGTGTGTACATCGTTCAATTGTTTGCATACAGAGTTTGTCATAATAAATACTACTTGGCCATGAATCAGCACTGGTGCTACGTTTGTTGTCTGTTTGTATATTTCTTTTTAAAAAACGTAGAGCAAAGGAAAGTATACACTTTAAAAAATGGATTTGACCCAAGAATGACAAACATTATCAAAATGTCCCTTGCCTGATAACAGTCGCAAAGTTGGTAAAGTTAAGGTCGAGAACACAACTATGATCCCCATATCAAATACATCACCATCGAATAACAATTGTTTGTTTCGTTTTTGGTCCCCCATCAAACATGGGTGTATACATTCTTTTGCCCAGCAGAATATTAAGAGTGTTAAGATGACTTATAAAAGATGTAGCATAAGAATCGTATAATGTATGAAAAAGAAGAAGCTTTTGTTTCTTTTAGTTTCGGCAGAGATGTCAAAAATGTAAAATTGTTCAACTGATGGGATGCCCAAAGTATTATCCTTGAACTTGTGTGTGCAACAATTCACGCCTGTGGGTACGAGGAATTTCTATCAACCAAGTCACTGGGCTGACCATCCAACCTATTAAGTCGCTTCTTACAAAAAGAAAACTGGGTACCAATTCTCACCCAGGCTCTCCTGATAGCATCTTCCAAATACATTATCTAACACCTATATTAGGGGTCGGGTTTCACACATTGTATCCTGATAGCATCTTCCAAATACATTATGTAACACCTATATTAGGGGTCGGGTTTCACACATTGTATCCTGATAGCATCTTCCAAATACATTATTTAACACCTATATTAGGGGTCGGGTTTCACACATTGTATCCTGATAGCATCTTGCAAATACATTATGTAACACCTATATTAGGGGTCGGGTTTCACACATTGTATCCTGATAGCATCTTCCAAATACATTATTTAACACCTATATTAGGGGTCGGGTTTCACACATTGTATCCTGATAGCATCTTGCAAATACATTATGTAACACCTATATTAGGGGTCGGGTTTCACACATTGTATCCTGATAGCATCTTGCAAATACATTATGTAACACCTATATTAGGGGTTGGGTTTCACACATTGTATCCTGATAGCATCATGCAAATACATTATTTAACACCTATATTAGGGGTTGGGTTTCACACATTGTATCCTGATAGCATCTTCCAAGTACATTATTTAACACCTATATTAGGGGTCGGGTTTCACACATTGTATCCTGATAGCATCTTCCAAGTACATTATTTAACACCTATATTAGGGGTTGGGTTTCACACATTGTATCCTGATAGCATCTTCCAAGTACATTATTTAACACCTATATTAGGGGTCGGGTTTCACACATTGTATCCTGATAGCATCTTCCAAATACATTATTTAACACCTATATTAGGGGTCGGGTTTCACCGGAGAAGGGTTTCACACATTGTACCCACGAAGGAAGTAACACCTGGCTTACTACATGGTGTATGTTGGGACATAAATTAACTTTACTCCTTTTCTATCAATAAATGTCAGAATGACATGAAACACACACAGACTTTCAAATGTTTAAATACGTCTTTATTTCATGTACAAATAAATAAATATATGCATTGTGGACAGGCAGTATTGGTTTCGTTGAACAGGAAGAAGTGATTGTGTGAGCATCGTCAGTGAGTCAGTCAGACAAGGCATGTTCCAACAATGCATGCATAAAATACAATTAAAGATTGACTACAACCAAATTCTAGATCCATATGAACCCAATTGATCTGATTCTCTTCATGCCTACATGAGTCATTCAATAAATATTTCCTTTGATGCCTGAAAATCTACCATTACAATTGTTGCAAATGACACTCTAAACAAACATTGCAAGAGCATTATACTATCGCTGATGTAGAATATTTTGCTGGAACTTGTTTTTATGCTTTGCAAGAAATGCAAAATTCTCAAGGCCATTTGCATTGTTAATGTTAATGCCTTAAAAATTAGGCATCCAAACTCAAGGCCTTTTCAAGCTTATAATTATGCACCTTCAATAATTAATCAATGCAAATAAACTGGAAAAGAGTATTTTGAATTTAATAGCAGCTGATGAATTAAAAGCAGTAAAGAAGTCACAACATGTTAATAGATTTTCATCCAGTTTGTTAAATGTAAGCTGAGAGGCATTTTATTCGTCTATATATTTCTTTAAACAAACTGTTAGAAAAATCTGTGGTCATCTGTGATTCACTTCTACAATGACTGTTTGTATTTCATCAAGGGAAGAAAGAATGGAATACACTTTCAATTCTAACCATCATCAACGATACATCATTGAATTTAATCTATTTCAAGGTATGGTTGGATTGATCTAAAGACTGTATCATTATATGCTGCCTTCCTCCTCCCCCCACCACCCCACCCCACCCCTCCCTTTAAGTAACATTTTACATGTCCCATCCCACCTTTCTCTGTCATTTTTTCATCCTGACCCCCACCCCCTAATAAATGACAAGTCCCTAAACAAGAGTCTCACATACACAGATATAAATGTAGTTCAAATTTACAAATGACCTTTATTTCAAGGTAATAAATATAAGATACCAGGTCTTGAATGCTGAACAATATATTAAATCAGTTCTGATCACAATCAGTATACAATAGCCAGTCAACATGGTAGCTGTAAGGACTGATAGCTGCTAGTTTAGGACAACCACAGAAACACTTTTGATAATCTCTCCAACCTTCCCCGAAAAGCAAAACAGGAAGATTTGACAAGAACAGTTACTGTAGTAATATTCCAGCTATATGACGGCGGTCTGTAAATAAATTAGTCTCGACCAGACAATCCAGTGATTGACATCATGATCATCGATCCACGCAATTGGGACCAATGACATGCATCAACCAAGTCAGCGAGCCTGACCACCCGATCCTGTTAGTCGCCTTTTACGACAAGCGTAGTCGCCTTTTACAGTAAGCATGGGTTGCTGAAGACCTATTCTACCCCAGATGTTCATGTGGTGTAGAACTTTACAGCAGTAACAATGATAACTTAAAAGATATGTATTAAGTTAACAAACAATGTAACAGATGATTTCGTTGGTTGGTTGGTTTGTTCTTTAACACCGCACTCAGCAATATTCCAGCTATGTGACAGTGGTCTGTAAATAATCGAGTCTGGACCAGACAATCCAGTGACTGATATCATGAGCATCAATCCACGCTATTGGATTTATCAGACGAGTGTTTTCCATATCCTAAAGAAGATATTGTAACAACAGAATTGTATTTCAATTAACTTTTCTCCCCCAATGTGTGTGTGTGTGTGTGTGTGTGTGTGTGTGTGTGTGTGTGTGTGTGTGTGTATGTACATGTATGTATTATTTATAAACAAGAGTAAAAATTCTGTTGCAATGTCATTATTAAAATATTTGAAATTTAGACATATTTCAGTTCAGTCACTGAAGTCACTTTAGAATTTCAGTTCATGGTTTCCCAACTAAAATATGAGTGAGTGAGTGCATGGGTGAATTGGGTTTCAGCTGCTTTTCACGATATTCCAGCAATATCACAGCTGGGGACACCAGAAATGGGATTCACTTATAGCACCCATGTGGGGAATTGAACCAGAGCCTTCGGGGAGCCAAGTGAACACTCTAACCATTCAGCCACTCAGCTACCCTGACAACCCCAAGGTTCTACACACTAGCACTACCTTCACAGAAGATTCCTCCAACACAGCTGTAAGTAACATGAAACAAATATTTGCATACAAAGACAAAATTGTTCATCTGATTATTTAGTCCTCAAATTTATTATTTTAAAGTTCACACAAAAACATTTACCATTGGTATGTTGAAATAATATGGTCTTGTATGTGTTTATTTAGTATAAAGTTACTTGGTATGGTCGGTATGACTGGTTAACATAAATGCTTATTCTGTTAAAGGTAAAGTGTGTTTTATATATTACCGTAATATGGACATGCATCTACTTCTGCCAGGGAAGGAGTGTGCAGTGGCCAGATACTATATAAAACACATTGGATGAAATACTATTTAAGAGTTATTACATATTAGTAGCATTTCATTTTTCTAATCAAATGAAGAGCAATCAGGGAAAATCAATATTAATTTAAACTATTTCTGTCTTTTATTATGATTGATGCTCTTCGCAATAAAAAAAATGTTGCATAACGTAAATACATATATATTGATCACTGTTATAAAAATATATACATCCATATTCATTGAACCTGCAAAAAAACGAATGTACATGTGAGTAACCTCATGATGTGACAAATTGTAGTCACTTTTTCACCATATATCTCTCCACAAGTTCAGTCATTTCTGTACATTCAAATACTCTACTATTCTCGACGATCCAGTTTATCATATCTAGTCTCTTGTGATTAATGCTGCTACCTTAGTCTTGTTTGGAACCCATTTTGAATAACACAACACAAACATATCTGTTGGGTGGAATTAGTCGTGGAATCACCGAGAGAAATTCAGTACTACGTAAGAGAAATGGAGGTGGTGACGTCGCTTCCGAAACAAAGCCATGGTGGGAAATGGGTGCAGGGGACATACCATAATATATAAAATACACTGGATAAATGAGGATGATACTATATAAACATCATGTGTTTCTAGACTTGTGGTGTTATTGAGTATTCAAAGCCCAGAAATTTCATTTGGAACTGACACGCAGCAATTGCTGCAGACACTCCCATTCATTTTAGAACTCAGGGGACAGGTGTCCCAGTCGTCTAAGGCAACGCGATTTCGCTTGCAGAGTTGCGTCCCTTGGGCACGCCAGAAACCTATGATTGTGGGTTCGATTCCCGGTTCGCCCGGATTATGTTTCTAGGTTTGTCAGCACCATACCCGTGTGCTCGTGGGTTTCACCAAAGTGGTAAATGTCTAAGACCTCCATCACTTCAGGCTTTCCTCCAACATTAAGCTGATACGCCACTGTAATAATGTTAAATGCGGTGTTAAACCCAACTCACTCACTCATTTTACAACTCCCACTTCAACTCTGAGATCCATGTTTCCTTTATCAGAAACACAATAAAATGATACACCTGCTTGTGATATGTACAGACCTGAGCTTAACATAAAGTACATAGCTGGCCAGAGAAACATGCCTTTAAAACATCAATTTAGGAAGGCATCCAGCATCACTCGTTTCTTCCTTTATACATGTTTATGAAAAGAACAAATTAGAGTGGACTGAAAATGCAATTTCCTTTCCACTAAAAGTCTCTACCGTATTTTCTTGAGTATAGTGCGCCCTTTTTTCCAAAAAACACAGCTGTGTAGAAGGGGGTGCGCATTATACACGAATTATGAGTTTTGATGTTTTTTCCCCCCATGGAAAGACATTACCGTGAGCATGTAACACCGGAAATACCATGTCAACAAATCCATACTGAAGTACGCAAATTATTCACGTAATTACACTGTCTGGCTATAAAAAGTGTTCTTTGTATATCTGGACTTATATTTGTAACTTATTTCATTAATTTTATTCAAAATTCCTTTTAATATTGTTTTAATTAATTTCGGCGAAATCGTGTGTGAAACGATCGGAAGATCGCAAAACTCACCGTTATTAACAGCAACCACGGTCAGATTACCGCTATTGACGCCTTGAAAAGAACTTTAGTTGACAGAGAATGGATACATATATCATAAATGCCATACTTTGAATCGTTAAAAGTCATATTTGTTTTTGTTGGACGATTCTATGTCAACACGTAATTCTCGCGATCACGCGATCACGTGCACGGGAGCCTTGACGGTGAATGGTCAGACTGGTTCCATGTAAAAAATAATACCCGGCAATAACGATCAGCTGCTTCGCTTAGGGTTATTATTATTTTAAATATGTTCAGTAAAAGCTGCATCTAAATTAACAAGATATTGGAATATATTATTCCTGATAAAAAAAGAGTTTCAGATACAATTTTTACCGATCCTTGCATTAAAAATACTGTAAAGTTATATCATTGGGTGTGTCTTGACCAAATCACCGGTAGATTCCAAGAAAACATGTGTACAGCTGATTGCTGTGTCCGGCTTAGTTTACGAGAAAATACACAAAGTAATCTTAATCCCTGGATGTAAAACAATGCCTAGTAGAACAAGAAATACAATTTAAACGGTAAATCAACATGTCTGGTGATTTTTTATCTCAAATTTCGAATTTGTACTGACAAAGTTTCTCATCACCCGTTCGTTTGCCGGACTTTGCTGAAGGGGTACGGTGTAAAAAATTTCTGCGCCTAATATTCAAATTTCTTTTTTTTCAAAATCTTGACTCCGCTTGAGGGGGGTGCGCATTCAACATGGGTGCGCACTATACTCAAGAAAATACGGTAATTATTTGCTGGGCCTCTATGGGGTTAATTTGCCTTGATTGTGTAAAAGGGGAAACACTTTAAAATTATGTTTTAAACTTTCTCTCTGCTTCCAGTCGCCTTTTCAATGCTATATATTCGTGAGTTCACCGAGTTTTCAAAAACTGTAAAAAGAATATTCAAGTTTACCCAGATTTCTTAAGTTATCTCAAAACTGAATTTGTCCTTGTATTTGCATGTTTAACTTATTTGCTTTAGTCGAGGATATAATAACACAAGATACAAATCACCCAGGCAAAATACGACTATAATTTCAACAGTTCATCATAATGGAAACCTAACGATGACAGTAGGGCTGGGACGGGTAACTCGGATACTCGCGTCGGGTGGGTACTGAGTGAGTAGGACCCGGGTACCCATTGGACTACCCGGACCCGTGGTTAGTCACGTGATATATTGTTTAAAGACAAAAATTATCTTGAACTGTATGCTTAAACTACAAGTCACTGATGTTCGCAGTTCTGACTACTACGCCCATTCCTTCTGACCTTTTTTATGTTTGAATAAAAACAAAACTTAAACTTCAGTGTATACACCAGATCATTTCATACGTGTATCTAAACACATTATGCCAGGACTAAGTCAAACTTTTCTGAATCAGACAGTTTGAGACCTTGAGACCTCTTGAGACCTACTCCGGGTACCCAGGTAGGGTTGGGTTATACGGGGGTGGGTGCCCAGGTAGTAAACATGGACTCGTCCCAGCCCTAGATGACAGACACAATAAAAGTATGCAAACAATTTTGCTGCACAACCATAAATTGATTATTATCACAGATAATGTTTTCACAACAACTATCACTATGAATGTAAAACAAAATGAGTAAAACTATGTACAAACATCACTTAAAATAACAAATGACAACAAAACACATACATTAATATTTCTGAGGGGCATATTTTTCTGTATCAGCTAATCAGTAAAGAACGTATTCATATCAACAGATCAATGTATAAATTGTGTAAATGGAAAATAAATAGTTTCATCTTTTGTTTAACTTAACTTGTGTAAGCTGGAATGTACTCAAAGGCAAAAATCAAGCAAATATATAAAAGGAGGATATGGATTATCGGTACCTGATTGATATCAGTACACAGCCTGTTGTCAAGACAACAGTCATGTGATGACATTTAAATGAGTATTGGCATTAAATAGAAAGTCAAATCTCAAATTGTAGCTCTTATTTGGAATTAAAGCAAAAATATATCAAATTGGTATAAATTTCAATTTCAAAACTTAAAATCTTTAGAAAAGCCTAAAGGTGCATCTTCAGCTGAATTAAACATAAGTTCACTTTAAATTTTCACAGAAAGGAGTTTTAGATCACAAAATGATCAACATTCAACATTAATTTGGCCTTTAAGTATATTCTCTACAAGATCCTCAGCAGGAGTGATATATAATCAGCATTAGAGACTAAAGGCTTCATCCAAATCGAAAACTTGAGGAATTTTTAACTGCAGACACAACACCGCTCCCAATCTTGGAATACAGTTCAGCTTGAAGAGCTTTCTGACCGATTGTTTCATTGTCATACTTGTGCCGAACCTCATCTCTCAGCTTCTGCGTTGCCTCAGCTACTGCTCTTGTCTGAAAATGACAGTTATCACTATTACCGTATTCGACGTTATAAGCGCCAAGGGGGTTTTCAAATTAAGAAATAGGGGGCTTTTATTAGAATATTTTTTTGAGTTGAAAGATCGTAAATTTCGTGGTTTATGCTGAAAACCTGAAATGTTTATATACGACAGAAATACTTTTCCAGGATTTGATTGCCCATAATTAAGGGTGCATATGACATACGAGTGCGTATTATACACGAATAAATAAGCCTTGTGTACAGTTGGAAGGGGTGATTATTGAGATTGTTCACTAGCCAATAAATTAGCAAATTTCGCTGTAGGCACTTATTATGGGCGCTTAGTGCGGTATTTTGTATTTTAGATCAATCACAATTATGGAGTTTCCTTTGAACACATGCAAGATCATGCATAACTTGCTTAGATCATGCATACACATGTTTAGATCATGTATAGGCTACAGTAACACATGCTTAGATAATGCATAAGATGCTTAGCCCCTACATACTCATGCTTAGATCATGTATAGGCTACACATGCTTAGATCATGTATAGGCTACACATGCTTAGATCATGTATAGGCTACACATGCTTAGATCATGTATAGGCTACACATGCTTAGATCATGTATAGATCATGTATACACATGCTTAGATAATATATAGTACACATACTTAGATCATGAATAGGCTACACATGCTAAGATCATGTACAGGCTACACATGCTTAGATTATGTATAGGCTACACATGCTAAGATCACGTACATGATACACATGCTTAGATTATGTATAGATCATGTATACACATGCTTAGATCATGAATAGGATACACATGCTTAGATCATGTACAGGCTACACATGCTTAGATCATATATAGTACACATGCTTAGATTATGAATAGGATATACATGCTTAGATCATGTATAGATCATGTATACACATGCTTAGATCATGAATAGGATACACATGCTTAGATCATGTATAGGCTACACATGCTTAGATCATATATAGTACACATGCTTAGATTATGCATAGGATATACATTCTTAGATCATGTATAGATCATAAATACACATGCTTAGATCATGTATAGTACACATGATTAGATTATGTATAGGCTATACATGCTTAGATCATGTATAGATCATGTATACACATGCTTAGATCATGTATAGGATACACATGCTTAGATCATGTATAGATCATAAATACACATGCTTAGATCATGTATAGTACACATGATTAGATTATGTATAGGCTATACATGCTTAGATCATGTATAGATCATGTATACACATGCTTAGATCATGTATAGGATACACATGCTTAGATCATGTATAGATCATAAATACACATGCTTAGATCATGTATAGTACACATGATTAGATTATGTATAGGCTATACATGCTTAGATCATGTATAGATCATGTATACACATGCTTAGATCATGTATAGGATACACATGCTTAGATCATGTATAGATCATAAATACACATGCTTAGATCATGTATAGTACACATGATTAGATTATGTATAGGCTATACATGCTTAGATCATGTATAGATCATGTATACACATGCTTAGATCATGTATAGGATATACATGCTTAGATCATGTACAGGATACACATGCTAAGATCATATATAGTACACATGATTAGATTATGTATAGGCTATACATGCTTAGATCATGTATAGATCATGTATACACATGCTTAGATCATGTATAGGATATACATGCTTAGATCATGTACAGGATACACATGCTTAGATCATGTACAGATCATAAATACACATGCTTAGATCATGTATAGGACTAAGTAGATGTAGGCGGAACCTCTATGTCAGATTAATTAATGTGGGAGAAAAGCACAAAGTGACGCAGGTAACAGGAAAAATATGTCAAACCACCTGCAACACACTAGTGAATGAATGGACGTTGTTTTATGTCCAGTCAGCAATATTCCAGCTATATCAAGACACCCTGCTGTTTGCATGTTGTTTTACGCTGCAGTCAGCAACATCACAGGAAAGTGATGGTAGCCTGTAATATGTGAGTCTGGACCAGACAAACTAGTGGTTGACATCATGAGCACTGACCCACAGTTTGAAGACATGCAATCAAGTCACCAAATGTGAGATCTGATCCACGTAGTTGTTTCTTTGTGACCAGCCAAGGTTGCTGGGAACTTTGGAGATGTTTGTTTGTTTGTTTATTTACAAAATAGACACCCACTAAACATCCGTGGGGACATGGTCTCAGTTAAGACTAGGCCCCCATCTATCCAGTTTCACATGAATAATAGAATACAAATGAATCAGGTCAAGGGCCATAATTGTTTTCTTTGTTGTTTCACTATCAGCTATATGACCGCTGCCTGTAAAGAATCAAGTCAAACCAGACAAACCAGTGATTGATATTATGAGCAACGATCCATGTCATCAGGGTATGTTGACACGCCATCAACAAAGTCACCGTGACTGACCACCCAATCAATTAGGTCGCTTCTTACAACCAGTAAAGTTTGGCAAGGACCAATTCTAACCCGGAATCCCCACGGGGTAGGGTTTTACATTAAGCCCGCAAGCCTTCCATACAGACATTGGGACGTAGATCTACCTGCAAGATGGTGGCATCCTTCTCTTCCTGCAACATCTGGGACTTCTTGTCCTTCAGTTGGATCTCCGACCTCAGACCTTGCTCCCACTTCTGGAGCTCCTTATGCACCCTGCAACACACATATTGTCTCTGAACCACACATACTGGTTATATGACAGTGAATCAAAACATGACACAGATAAAATACAGGGAAACATCTTCACCTGAAACATATGCCTTCCATAACAGTCATAGCATGTAAGCACACTCCCTAGGCAATTCCATCTACCCTCAGGATACCCGAGACCAGATGACCCAGGATGCAGGCTAGTGCCAAGTTGCATCACTGAATATAATAATGTTACCATCATTCTGCCTAAACAATCATCTGATTTAATGGCTAAAACATTTATAAATTCTTTAGTAAGGCTTAAAAAAATAAAAGAATTAGTGCTCAGGCTAGGACTTTTGAAAATATCGTGCAGGCAGGTGGCGTTATTTTGGTGGGTTTTTTTGCTTGACACAAATAATATACAGGGAATCATCTTCACCTGAAACATGCCTTCCCTAATAGTGATAACAAGTAAGGACACTCCCTAGGCAGACTGTAATTCCATCTACCCTCAGGATACCATCTTCCCGAGGCAAGAAAGTTAACTGACTTTAAATGTCCAGTTTTCGCCCTCCCGAACTAGGCTGGAATTCCTGGGCTTGATCGTAGCGCCACCAGTGGCTATTACGAGTTATGTCCCTTCTAAGCCTCTCCTATGGACCAATCAAATTCCATCTCTCATTTCACTTTCATTTGTTTTAAACAAATTGGGGCTCCCAGTCAGGACGATCTGGTCAATGATCAAGATCCATATTGTGATAAAACAGGTCTTACATCGCAAAATGCATCAAATCACGTGAGCACCGTGTTTAAAGACATGAAAAGATTTGGAAAATATCTGTTGACAACGAGTTGGTGGTGCACATGTTTTGCAAATCCTGCAATCAACCAAAATCTGAATGACAGTTTACGAACCGGAATTTCGATTTCGTTGCGCGATGTTGATTGGACTATGCACAGACTCGTTAGTCCACCCAAAATGTAACTCCATTATACCAACCTAGTTCGGCAAGGGTGGAAACTGGACTTTCATAGTCAGTTAACTCTCTTGCGTCGGGAAGATGTCAGGATACCCGAGACCAGACAACTCAGGATGCAGGCTAGTGCAAAGTTGCATCACTGAATATGATAATGTTACAATCATTCTGCCTAAACAATCATCTGATTTAATGGCTAAAACATTTATAAATTCATTTAGTAAGGCTTAAAAAAATAAAAGGTGAGGTGAAATGGGGTTTAACATAGCATATAAGATTATTGCACTTATATAGCGACGTGCATGCACGTGTGTGTGTGGCTGCTTGTACTAGTCCGGACTCATGCCGATTTATAGTGCTAGCTCACTGAGATACCAGTTTAACATGAATACCCCACTCAAACACAGTATACTGACTCCGAGCCGACCAATCCTTGTTGCCTTAATGCCGAGCGCAAGACAGGGTAACAACAAGTACCATCTTTTTAACGTCTTTTGGTATGACGCGGTATGACCACAGAGGCGGTCTAAAAAAAAATCAAAATAAAAAAAATCAAAAGAATTAGTGCTCAGGCTATGACTTTTGAAAATTTCCTCCAGACAGGCGGCGTTTTTTGGGGTATTTTTGTTTGTTCAAACTAGTATGTAACCAAATATACAGTTGTGTACCATCAACCTGGGAAAGGGCCTCCCTACATAAACAAGCATACAAACTCCTATTGCTGCCATGACCATAACATAAGATGTGCAGTAAAGCAGTGCACATATATAGGGAAGTAACTGCATGCTATATTGGATCGCATTGTTTGTAAGTATTAGGATTTTCATATTTTGGGGGAAAATGGAAATAAAAACATGTGCAGCAGACTTTAGGATGTTGTGGGCAGTGCCTGAGAACCAATATATTTTATATATTTTTTAGCCTAAAATGACTAACCCTTGTTGAAATGACTAAACATTCCAGCCATTAGGCTAACAGCCTCGACTGAAAGTCCTTCACTTGACAAGAACATCAGGCAATCTGAATTATGCCTTGCTCCAAATGCTTTCACTTTTCCTAATTGACATTACGATATTTCCAATAACAACTCAGCACTGGAAGGCTGTGGTTTGGAGGCTTCTCACTCTGATTACACGCAGGCACAGCTAATGTCTCTGCTAGGAATGCTTAGGCAACAAAATCATGGGCATAAACTGAACTGTACCACGAATCACTTCAGGTGAAAAACTTGTCATTTTTAAATATCCATGAAGCAAACAGCTGCAGATAGGATTTGAGATGCACAAATGACTAATTTGACTGAGAAGTCAAGCTGTGGACATCACACAATCAGGCTGCAGAGGACGCATCTGTTGTCCATGGTTGCATCAGCCATTGTTGGTGATGGTAACCTTGGTTACAACTAGGATGTGTTTGGATGAGGTGTTTTTTAAAGCTGGAAACTTGTTTTAGGAACAGTTGCACACAATAATCAAAGAAGAAGGATGAAATGCAGTGTAAGATAGGATAAGTTTTAAATATTATAAATACTACTCAAAAAGAAGTTAAGAACACCCACTACACTTCTTTCATATTACTTAAGTTTATCTATCATGAGTTCACAAGATTTTCAGGTGTTATTTTGTATTCTGTTTACCATTTAAAACCTGCCACTTAGACTGTTCTAAGTGGATTTTCCGGGCATTGAAAACTTAAAAAACACTCGCAAACTTAAAACACATGTTTATATCCAGATTTTAAAACTACTAACTTCTTAATGTTGACTCTGTGCTCCTTCTCCTTGACCTTGCGTTCCTCCTGGAGCCTCCGTGACGTCTCTTGTCGCCGTCGCTCCACACTCGCACTAGCCTTCCTTTCCAGCTACAACATCATTAATAGATTGCAAGTGAGTCAGTGGCATTTGTGGGGCTGTCCAAGCCGTGTTTTTCACATAAACCAAAAAGAAATCAATAGGCCATTCCCACTAACAGACTGCTGCTTCTTGATTGGCTGATATTTGTATTAATGATTAAATATGCAGTCTGTGAAGCTTGTATTGTTGACGTACTTATTTGTAAGAATTGACTTCAAAAATGTTTTTGCCTTTCTGGAGGTATGAACGTAGCCTAAGTGTGCACTCTTTGCAGGTATACACAGTTTGCACACTGAATGTTCAATATATACCACCATAAACATTGGGGGCATGGGTGGCCCAGTCGTCTAAGGCGCCACGATTCGCTGTGCAGAATTGCGTTCCTTGGGCATACCAGAAACCTATGATTGTGGGTTCGAATCCCGGTTCGCCCCGATTATGTTTCTAGGTTTGTCAGCACCATAACCATGCTCATGGGTGTCACCGAAGTGATAAACGTCTAAGACCTGCATCACTTTGGGCTTTCCTCCCACATTAAGCTGACACGCAATGATATAAGTGGTATACTGTTAAAAGCGGCGTTAAACCCAACTCACTCACTCCATAAACATAATATATTTTCAAGTCAATTCTTAAACCAATTGTTTCAAACAGACATTTTCTCTATGAAATCGGATAATCATTAATTCTTTGATAAGTATACACACAAACAATGAGGTCTGCTCGGACTGCCGGACTCGGACTGCTCAAGTCTAGACCCCCGATAATCTTATTTCAATTTCTGAAGTCTGCTGATTTATTTGTTGATTACCACTACATTCACCAATATCCCAGCCATATCACAAACAAAGGTTACTTGGGACCTATTCTAAACCAGAATCAAGAAGGGGTCTGAAGTTATCTGAAACAAGAGTTAACCACTAACGAGGCTATATCCCCCGCCCCTGTTGCAGAATTTATGACATAATTAAATCTAAACAAACCCTAAACTTTTTTAACCGAGGTGGAACTTATCATGGAAATTGTTTAAAAAAGAAGAGTTTGGAACCTTAGTCCATCTTGCTGCCATGGAAACGTAAAAAATAAAAATTTCTAAAATTTCTAAATAGCAAAAGGCACCAGTTCAGCATGTACCTGACAAACCTGCAAAGTTTCATGGAAAAATATTGAACGGTTTATGAGTTATGCTCCAGAAACGAACCCTACCCTCACAGAACCTAAGTCCATATTGTTGCCATGGAAACGTAAAAAATAAAAATTTCTAAAATTTCTAAATAGCAAACATGGCAAAAGGCACCAGTTCAGCATGTACCTGAAAGACCTGCAAAGTTTCATGAAAAAATATTGAACGGTTCCTGAGTTATGCTCCGGAAACGAAACGTGACGGACGGATGGACGGAGCCCGTTTCTATATCCCTATAACACCCCTAAAGCCAGACATCACGATGAAGGATGAGGATTCAGCTTGTCACCTGTTTTCTGCGATGCACCAGATCCTGTCTCCATGCCTCCATCTCACTGTCCATCTTCTCCTGGGACTGTCGAGCGAAATCCTGCCGTTTCTCACGTTTACTCCTGTAAAGTTAGTACAATTCTATATTAAACATTTCCTATACATACTAGATAACCATAAATACATTCTTGGGGACATGAGCTCTGTTTGAAGTTGGCACAATCTATCCAGCTTGACATAAATCATAAAATACAAATGAATCAGGTCAAGGGCCATATTTATTTGTTGTTAAATGCCACAATCAGCAATATTGCAGCTATATGACAGCAGGCTGTAAATAATCAAGTCATGAACCACATAAACCAACGATTAATTTTTTGAGCAACTTCTCACATTGTCAGGGTACAATGACACACAATCATCTAAGTCCCTGAAATAAACACCCGATCCATTTAGTCTCGTAACTAATACATAGCTTGATTGGGACCTATTATAAACTGGGACCTCCATAGGATCAAGAGCCACTATAGCAAAGTAATACAAAGCAACATTCAAGTTATCATGACAACCTACAAATTATATCCCCAGCGTGTGATAGTGTGAACAAAAACTACATCATCTGTAGGTTGGTTGGTTGGTTATTTAACGTAACACTCAGCAATATTCCAGCTATATGACAGCGGTCTGTAAATACTTAAGGCTGGACCAGACAATCCAGTGATTAATATCATGTCCATCGATCCACGCATTTGGGATCGATGACATGCATCAACCAAGTCAGCAGGACTGAACACCAGATCCTGTTAGTCACCTCCTACGACAAAGCATAGTCGCCTACGGCATGCATGGGTTGCTGAAGATCTATTCTAACTCAGATCCTCATCATCTGTAGGTACTTCTTAAGTGACTATGAAGTGGAACCTGTCAAATTCGAACTCACACTAAAATCATAATGTGGATCTCTACAACTAAACCAAATTTATTGCATTAACTTGTCACTAAACTCAAATAATCACTTCCTTTACTCTGTTCTTAAGCCTAAAACTTTGACACAAAGGAGATACTTTTTACATAAGCAACCTTAGAAATTAATGCTAGCCCGTTAGCCCAAGACCAGTAAATTGTGCTGGGACAAGTAAAGATCCAAGGATGGCAGTAGTCCACACTGACCATGAGCATTTGCAGGCCATAGTTCTGAACCAGTTCTCAATGCTTCAATCTTGCTACAAATTTGAACTGAATAGGACTGACAGAATATGTAAACATAGCAACCGTTTTTTGTCTTTTTCAAGCAGGACTAACTACAAACTCTGAGGTCCACTGAAATAAGGTTTATTCTGGTCCTCTGGACTTGTCTTATAAATTTCTAACGCATGCAGGTGCAGGTGATGCTCCCTGATCCAAATTACCATTTCCTACGTGTCACTTCCACTACCAGGATCATCAATAAGCCTCCATCAATAGGGGGTAATGGCATAATAATATGCATAGAGCAGCAGCAGTAGACAACGCCATGTATAGGTTAGCACCCTCTTCCAGGGTAATATGGACTACAATGCATGAGGCGTCACTCCATATAACCCACTGAGATAGAGATAGCCAATTCATAGGTTAGGTTATGTTTGTTGTTTACGCCGCAATATTCCAGCTATATGACGCGGTCTGTGAATAATCAAACATGGACAAGACAATCCAGTGATTGACATCATCTACGCAATTGAGATACGATGACATTCTTCAACCAAGTCAGCAAGCCTGACCACCCGATCCTGTTAGTCGCCTCTTACAACAAGCATAGTCGCCTTTTACGGCAAGCATGGGTTGCTGAAGACCTATTCTACCCCGGATCTTCACGGGTCAGGCCAATTCATACCATGAGCACGATGCACTATACGCAAGGATGCAAATACAATGAACCAAGGCTTGCTCCCCTCTCGTCTGAATTGAATCGTCAAACCTATATTAATATTCGTGACGATATGGTTGCAAGACGAGGACATTTTATTTTAAGGATTAAAGGATACTTCTTTCAATTGATTTAACTGGTGTGTAAACATCAACAGGCAACAGACAGCTACAATATTTAATAAATATTGATTCACATGTGCCTTTAGTATTGAATTGTTATGGGGCCTATTCTTGCTATAATCTACCCCAGACCTCTGTCCAAACTGGACATTCAGTCCCACACCCCGGTAAAGACAGGATCTATACTCACTGGTTGAGCATCATCTCGTGATATTTCTGCTGCAACATCTTTTCAAAGTTTGACCTGGCCGACAAATGCTTCATGTCCACAGAGGAACACAAATGGTTACTTTTCTCTCTGAAACAGAAAGAAAACATTATTTTGCTAGACTGAAAATCAGTTTCCGACACAAACCACATCAGTATAAAGACCTTATTTGACTGCAGTTCTTTTGCACAAAGGAAATTCTTACACCCCAAATAAAATTTCAAAAACATAGCCTCTTAATGGTACTTAATACCATCGATGCAGGGGAGACAACTCTCACTTGAAGTTGTACTTATACTCTCCCTGTGATGTAGATCAATGTTGTAGTCCATGACATATCAGCATGCAGTCTTTAGAATTGCTAGGTCCTTTTTAGCAATCAACCTTCTTAGATATTTCATATGTTTTGAGGGAAAAAATAAATGCTAACTCTTTTTGACTTTTTAGTGCTGGACTATATTTACAGTAACGTGTATACACATGGAGTTAGTCATTTCAGAGACCATGATTAAGTATTAAACACATATGGTTGCAGTGGCTAGAGCCTATATGAAAATGCATTTAGTTATGATAACATTCACAATGCTAATAGTTACACTTTGCGAGTATTTTTTAGTAATTTTATCTTTCCTTTATCTATCTTGTCTACTCTATCAAAGATAGAAGTTGAGCAAACAAAAATAACTATAAATTCTTTTGTTTCATTTTCCAATCGTGGATTTTGGCTGCGGACAGGAATATTCGTAAACAAAACAAAAAGGGTTGCTTAAAGTTATCCTGTTGACAGAATCCTATAGTGTTTGTTTGTTTGTTTGTGTGTTTGTTAATCGCCACACTCAGCAATATTCCAGCTATATGACGGCGGTCTGTAAATGATCAAGTCTGGACCAGACAATCCAGTGATTGACATCATGAGCATCGATCCATGCAATTGGGATACGATGTCATGCATCAACCAAGTCAGCGAGCCTTTTACGGCAAGCATGGGTTGCTGAAGACCTATTCTACCCCAGATCTTCACAAGACAGAATCCCATAGTGAATCATGTAGTGAGTGTGTGAGTGAGTTTGATTTACTATTTACATATATCACAAGGTATCAGCTGTGTGAAGGAGGAAATCCCTAAGTGATGCAGGTCTTAGACTTTTATCACTTTCACAAAACCTACAAGCATGGGTATGGTGCTGACAAACCTGGCAACATAATGGGGCAAATCTGGTTTTGAAACCCATGATCATGAGTTTCTGGCTCAAAAAAGCACACGGCTTCTGGTGCCGGGAAAACTGGGCCATCAGTGCCCCCAACCCTTGTATAATGCAAAGCTCCTCACAGTGATATCCCGTTTGTGGAGCTCTATATATATATATATATTATCACTGCCACCAGTCAAAACTCCCCACAGTGATAGATGACCACAACCATGCTTGGAGTTGAACTCGCAACCGAATGACCATTATGTTTACAAACAAGTGACAACTGTCGTGACGCCAAATACACTTACCCCTGCTAAATTATTTTCTTTGTTTATCAATTTGAATTTCTATTTCATTCAAACTATAATGCAATTGTTATAGTAAGAATGTAAGAGAGAAGTTGATTGATTTTCCGTCTGTCTATCAGTGTATCTCGAACCAATCTGTTTATACAAACAACAAAGTAAATTTATCTGAAAAACATGGTCAGTCGTTAACCTTTTCAAAATTCACTATGATGGCATTCCCAAAGACATAAACAAAAGTATAAACGTTACTACATTTGGGGTTAGAGGGCAAATTTCAAGATTCTTGTAATGGCCGCGCCCACACAGGTGGCAGCGATGTTACCAAGAGTGTGACGAAGGTGTCACACGCTGGGAAGGAGCTTGGTATAATGCAAGGTTACCACTCACTAAACCTTCATCCTACCTGTTCAGTCTCTCAACTTGTTGTCTATTCTTTTCAAATATTTCTCTTTCCTTATGATTTTCCAGCATCTTTTTCTGAAAAAAAAGACAACAAATAGATATCATCCTGCTTCTTGAGCATCAACATCACAGAGTACATGGGTATGCTACAAATAGATTAGGAGATATTTTAAAATGCTTCACTGAAATAACACAGTATCACACATTTTCTAGCTTTAGTCCTGAAAAGCATGCAAATGTTGCTAATTGATACTGTGTGCTTGAGCCATGCAACGGCAGATATCCATGCATGTGACAGTGACAGGTTTATGGTGCTAGCCCACTGAGATACCATGCAGTTAACATGGATACCCCACTCAGACACATTATACTGTCTCCCAAGTCGACCAGTCCTTGTTTTATCACCTTAATGCCGAGTGTTAAGCAGGGTAACAACAAGCACCATCATTTAACGCTGTTTGATACGACACAGCCGGGGATCAAACCACTGACATCTCTGGGCAAACAGTCTATCCACTTTACTGTGGAGGCGGTCTGTCTCTTAATAAGCAAGAGGTGCACTGATCCTTTATTCAGTTTTAGTATTTTATGTTCACATATTGTTAGAAAAGATTTCTGGGCTTGTCAAAATATCAATTTTTTAAAATAAATGTTAAGTTTTAAAACAAGACAAAATGAAGTACGGTATTCCTTTCTGTACAATATTCACAAAACAATCAGTGAGTTTTACAACACAGGACACCAATATGTGTTACACATTGTACACACATGTGGCATCAAACCCAGACCATCGGAAGGAGGAGCAAGCACTGTCTAGGTGATCCAACTTCCCCAACCGACCATCAGAGCAAATGAGCAAAATAACAAGTCAAAATAATATTTGTGGATTTCCATGTTTTAGAAATAAATTATACTGAGATTTCATTCTTTGGCCACATGTGACCACACTGACCATCCTCTCGGCGTGGGCTCGCATCTCTTTCTTCTGTTCTGCATTGCGGATCTCAGCCTCCAGCCTCTGTTGAACAAGTTGTCCCACAGCCTCACGTTCCGTGGCACTCCGCTTCAAACTCAGATCCTGTATAAAGCAAGCCATTGTGCTTCAGGCTATTGATGGATTATTCTTATTATTGGAAATGTTTGTTTGTATATTACAACCGAGGTGCTGAGAGACAGAATGATATCACAAACTTAAAAATGCTTTTGTTTTTGTTTCTTTGTTGTTTAACGCCGCACTCAGCAATACTGCAGCTACATGACGCGGTCTGTAAATAATCGAGTCTGGACCAGACAATCCAGTGATTGACAGCATGAGCATCGGTCCACGCAATTGGGATCGATGACATGTATCAACCAAGTCAGCGAGCCTGACCACCAAATCCCGTTAGTCGCCTTTTACGACAAGCATAGTTGCCTTTTACGGCAAGTATGGGTTGCTGAAGACTTATTCTACCCCGGAATCTTCACGGGTCTAAAAATACTTTTATCACTCTAAAATGATAAAGAGCACCAGTCAATACATTTAAAAAATTAGCATCAAATAATTCTGTGTCATGAGTGAATGAGTTGGGTTTAACGCTGCTTTTAACAGTATTCCAGTTATATCATGGCATGTCAGCTTAATGTGGGAGGAAAGGCAGAAGTGATGCACGTCTCAGACGTTTACCACTTCGGTGAAACCTATGAGCACGGGTATTGTGCTGACAAACCTAGGAACATAATCGGGGCGAACCGGGATTCGAACCCACAATCATAGGTTCATGGCGTGCCCAAGTGACGCAACTCTGCACAGCGAATCGTGGCGCCTTAGACGACTGGACCACCCGTGCCCCTATTTCTGTGCAGAAATAATTACTTATGATATGGTCATTAAAAACAAACTGTCTAAATATATCCTGATTTGTGTTTATGCCTTTATTGTGTTTATGCCTTTATCGTGTTTATGCAGCTAAGAACTAAATACGGATGTATTTGTAAATATACTTTATGTCTGTTGCTGTTACATTATCCTATTTCTCATTCAAATTTTGTTTTGGGTACTGAAACTGCATTCTGTGAGACTGATGAAGATCCGGGGTAGAATAGGTCTTCAGCAACCCATGTTTGTCGTAAGAGGTGACTAACAGGATTGGGGGAACAGGCTTGCTGTCTTGGCTGATGCATGTCATCGTATCCCAATTGCGTGGATCGATGCTCATGATGTCAATCCCTGTATTTCTGGTCCAGACTCTATGATTAACACACCATCGTCACACAGCTAGAATATTGCTGAGTGTGGAGTTAAACAACACACAAAGCATACTGTGAGGTTAATTTTCTGTGTATATAATTGTGTTCTTGTTGTCTGAGGCCTTTTTAAAAATCATATCTCATTTTTCTCTCAAGTTGCATTTATATTACATAATGGTCAGCAACTTGAGACAGAAAGGAGAGATGATTTTTAATGAAGGTCTCAGACAATTAGAACAACGTTGCATTCATATTACATATTTGTGATGGGTACTTGAGTACTTGGTCATGATTATTTCCCTGACCCGAGTACCCGACCAGGGGAGATAACTCACATCTTCACTTCTTTAACACGTGATGCAAACATGGAAGTGACAGTGTCTGGGCATGTTTTGACTTAGATGATGCTATTAACCTACCTGCATGCTCTTCCTCAGTTTTTCTCTCTCTTGCTTCTCAACTAGTTGCTGTTCCTGCAAAAAACATGTTTCATCTCATATCAATTAACCCATTATGATACTTTGCCAACTACAAACATGATAACACCTATCTGGATGCAGGAATGATAACACCCATGTGGATCCAGGAATGATAACACCCATGTGGATCCAGGAATGATAACACCCATGTGAATCCAGGAATGATAACACCCACGTGGATCCAGGAATGATAACACCCATGTGGATCCAGAAATGATAACACCCATGTGGATCCAGGAATGATAACACCCATGTGGATCCAGGAATGATAACACCCATGTGAATCCAGGAATGATAACACCCATGTGGATCCAGGAATGATAACACCCATGTGGATCCAGGAATGATAACACCCATGTGGATCCAGGAATGATAACACCCATGTGGATCCAGGAATGATAACACCCATGTGGATCCAGGAATGATAATACCCAAGTGGATCCAGGAATGATAACACCCATGTGGATCCAGGAATGATAACACCCATGTGGATCCAGGAATGATAATACCCATGTGGATCCAGGAATGATAAAACCCAAGTGGATCCAGGAATGATAACACCCACGTGGATCCAGGAATGATAACACCCATGTGGATCCAGGAATGATAATACCCATGTGGATCCAGGAAAGATAATACCCATGTGGATCCAGGAAAGATAACACCCAAGTGGATCCAGGAATGATAACACCCACGTGGATCCAGGAATGATAACACCCACGTGGATCCAGGAATGATAACTGCCATGTGGATCCAGGAATGATAACACCCATGTGGATCCAGGAATGATAACACCCATGTGGATCCAGGAATGATAACACCCATGTGGATCCAGGAATGATAACACCCATGTGGATCCAGGAATGATAACACCCAAGTGGATCCAGGAATGATAACACCCATGTGGATCCAGGAATGATAACACCCATGTGGATCCAGGAATGATAATACCCATGTGGATCCAGGTATGATAATACCCATGTGGATCCAGGAATGATAACACCCAAGTGGATCCAGGAATGATAACACCCATGTGGATCCAGGAATGATAACACCCATGTGGATCCAGGAATGATAACACCCATGTGGATCCAGGAATGATAACACCCATGTGGATCCAGGAATGATAACACCCATGTGGATCCAGGAATGATAACACCCAAGTGGATCCAGGAATGATAACACCCATGTGGATCCAGGAATGATAACACCCATGTGGATCCAGGAATGATAACACCCATGTGGATCCAGGAATGATAACACCCATGTGGATCCAGGAATGATAAAACCCAAGTGGATCCAGGAATGATAACACCCACGTGGATCCAGGAATGATAACACCCATGTGGATCCAGGAATGATAATACCCATGTGGATCCAGGAATGATAATACCCATGTGGATCCAGGAATGATAACACCCATGTGGATCCAGGAAAGGCATAAAAGTCACTATGATTGTTGTAAGAGGCAGCGTTAGAAATTGGCACTAGTCCTGTAGTCCTTACCAAACTGCCCAATAGTGAAGGTATCCTAAGGACTAGTAGAAATTGGCCCATTTTAAGGGGTTTTGCTATATGTTGACATTATAAGGACTAGTGGAAAAAAAACCTCTTAGTTTCTAACCCTGAGAGGCAGTGTAAAAGAAAAGGAAGAAAGTCCAAAATCTGAAAATATTTGATGATGACAGCTTATTGATGAACATAACTACAGTAAACTACGGTTATAACCAACACGCTTATAACGAACTGACGGATATAACAAACTTACTTTTTGGGTCCCGACTATTTGCTTTCGTTATGCTGTATATATACTTATAACAAACTACGGTTATTACAAACTAAAATTAGTAGTCCCTTTGAGTTCGTTATAACCGTACTATACTGTATTCAGATTTCTTAATTTGATAAAAGCTGTTTCCAAGCATGACACTCCCCCATCTCTTGAAAATGACCCATATGGTTCTTCATCATGAGTTACAACCGCCACCATCTTTGACTAAGCACTGACCCTCATCTGCAGCTGCTTGTGTAGACTGTCCTCCCACTGTCTGCTGGACTCCAGGACAGACAACTCCTTCCCCCGTCTCAGTTCTTCCTCTGTCTTCCTCTTCCTCTTATCCGCTGATTGCTGAAATACCATCAACACCAGTGTCACTCTGTTCCCAAAACTGTGCCTACCTGCCCGCAATTGCCTCTAGCCATTAATTTCAGTTGTTTTTAGTGTTAATACTTAGAGGATATTAAATGAGGGTTCATGTAATACACAGTACCTAAATACCGGAATTTAGGCACGAGTGTCTTGAACATTGTATGACATGAACACAAATATATTGGTTGGTTGGTTTGTTGTTTAACGCCGTACTCAGCAATATTCCAGCAATATGACGGCGGTCTGTAAATAATCGAGTCTGGACCAGACAATCCAGTGATTAATATAATGAGCATTGATCCACCGATTGGGAACAAATATAATCTTCTATTTATTACCGAAGAAGATGTCTACATACAGAGACAAATTTTAGTGTTTACCTAAGGACAGCAAGTCACAACAGCAGTAGAACCACAATTTGTCGAATGACATCAACAATCTTCAGCTATGAAGTATCTAGTATGACATCATTCCAACCTCACGTCACAAAAAGATTTGAATGACATCAACAATGACGTCCGGATGACGGAAACAATACACTATTGTCTCGTGACTTGATATGACCCAAGGGCACATGTGTTTTTTTATTAACCTTGATATTTTTGCTCTCGTAGGTAATAAATATATATGCACTATCATTAGCTGGAAGTACAATGACAAAATGTTGTTTTCCAAACTCGGTCTTCGGACTCATGTCTAAGGTTACAGACAAATGTTACTGCATACAAAACCAGTGGTGGACAAGAACCCTTCACTTATACAAGAATCAAGAACCTATATATATGAAAAGGCAGTAGTTGCCTGGTCAGCTTAATGCAAGCGGAATGCCCAAAATGACAGAGGTTTAAGATGTTCTACGTCAGTATTGCACCGTCAAACTAAGAATCAAATCAGATCAAATCCATGAACATCAGTATTGCACCGTCAAGCTGAGAATCAAATCACATGAAATCCATGAACATCGTTATTGCACTGTCAAACTAAGAATCACAATCACATCACTTCCATGAACATCAGTATTGCACCGTCAAACTAAGAATCAAATCAGATCAAATCCATGAACATTGATATTGCTCTGTCAAACTAAGAATCAAATCACATCAAATCCATGAACATTGATATTGCACTGTCAAACTAAGAATCAAATCCAAGAACATTGGTATTGCACTGTCAAACTAAGAATCAAATCAGATCAGATCAAATCCATGAACATTGATATTGCACTGTCAAACTAAGAATTAAATCAGATCAAAATCCATGAACATCTGTATTGCAATGTCAAACTAAGAATCAAATCAGATCAAATCCATGAACATCGGTATTGCACTGACAAACTAAGAATCAAATCAGATGAAATCCATTAACATTGATATTGCACTGTCAAACTAAGAATCAAATCAGATGAAATCCATGAACTTTGATATTGCACTGTCAAACTAAGAATCAAATCAGATCAAATTCATGAACATTGATATTGCACTGTCAAACTAACAATCACAATCACATCAAATCTATGATCAAAGACCACAGCTCATGACATTAAGGGACATTCCTGTTGTTGGTTGTTTGTTTGTTGTATAACTCCGCACTCAGCAATATTCCACCTAGATGACGGCATTCTGTAAATAATCCAGTCTGGACCAGTGATTGATATAATGAGCATCGATCTACACAATTGGGATCGATGACATGCATCAACCAAGTCAGCGAGCCTGACCACCCGATCCCACCTTTTAGTCGCCTTTTATGACAAGCATAGTCGCCATTTATGTCCCCTACACAATAAGATAACAAACTGTGCTGTGTTCAGTTAACGAAGTTTTCTAAGCCCACACCATGTATAGCTGGAATATTGCTGAGTGCGCCGTTAAACAACAAACAAACAACCATGTATAAACAATCCTTTATAATCAAGGTAATAGATGTAAATCTTAGGATGTAAATCAGAAGAAGATGAAGCTGTTGTCTCTGCCAGGAGTAAGTACTTGCAAACAGTGTATGTCAGGGTTTGATATTGGCTCACAAGGCATTGACTAATTATTATCTGAAATGACCATAGGACGGACTCCTTCAAAACGTGGACCGCCTGTCTTCCCAGAGAGCTCTATCAGATTCAGGTCACGGGTGAAAATTAAACTGCGGCATGGCATCTCAGGGGCTAGCACTATAAAACTGCCATAAGTCTGGACTAGTACAACTAGCAGACACACAAGTGCATTCACATCACTTTATACTGAAAGTGCAATAATACAGAAAACATCCATGCACACTCACACATGCATGCACATCGCCATACATGTGCAGTAATGTTGATTGCAGTGTTAAACCCGATTTCACCTTTAAAATTGTCTTTTAACCAAAAACAGGTGTATATATCAAAGCCGACAAAAATGACGACATTGATAAACATTCCAGATGTAAGAATACATACTGTGGCGTGACATGAATCAGGTGATTGGCAAGAGGCAAGAAGAAGTGCAACAGTCAGACTCTAACGAACCGGGAGAAGGCGGCTGTTTCAAATGACATGGTCAGTTACCGCCAGATTCAAACACTAGTTCCCTGAGAACAGGAAGACACTGTTGGAAAAGATTGAGAAATGAAACCCGAAGACATGAAAGTTGTGGAACCGAGGCAAGCGGGGGAACAACAGGCGAACGAGTCTGCACGTTTGCTGTTTCATTCCTTCACTGCCTTCGGTCTCAAAGGGTTTTGTGGACAATGAATATGCATGAATGTCGCTAAATGTCCTGTGCATGACTATCGATACTCTTAAGCAGAAAGGGAATTCCCTCGAATGTAAGTTTGGGATTCCCCGACATTCCGTAGTAACGAAAGTAGTCTGCCTAGGTGGGCGTGGCTTAATTGTTTTACATTCATTGGGAAATGAATGCAATAACATGTGACAAATTCAGCTAATCAGAATGCAGGAATATCAATGAACACAACAAATATTTAATTATTGTACGTTGAAACAACATGGTAAAGATCTGAGATCTACTCCCCCCCTGGAACATCTTTCCCTTTACCTTCTTCATATGTCGGACTCTGTTCTCCTCCGCTAACAGAAGTCTCCTCTGTGTCTCGGCGTGGTCACGGATCTGCAGCTCCTCCCGTCTCTCATCGTCCCAGGCCACCCTCGCCTTCTCACGCTGGGCATACAGCTTCCTCTCAGTGATGCGCTTCTTCTTCATCAACTCCACAATCCGTTTATCCTGTGTAAGAAAAGTAGGAACCTTTCAACATAAACGATGCAATTGAAAAAGTTATCAATGTTTATGAAAGTCTTACATTTAGACAGAATTTTTCAGTTCAGAATAAGCAGCCTTTTGACAAGTATATACACTCCTAACAAAATCAACACTGAAAACCATGCAGCAACTGAAATATATGGAGTGGTTGAGTGAGTGAGTAGTTGAGAGGTTGCGTGGTTGGTTGGTGGAGTAAAGTAAAGAAACATTTTTTTTAAATGTTCGGGTTATATTATGAAAGTTGAGTGAGTGAGTGAGTGAGTGAGTGAGTGAGTGAGTGAGTGAGTGAGTGAGTGAGTGAAAAAGTCAAGTTTCCACCCTTGGCTAGATTTCCATAGTTAGTAACAGTTTGACTGGACTAACAAGTCTATTTATAGTCCAATCAAAATCTTGTATCAAGTAGGCATCTACAGACATTTTGAAAAACGTTTCATGTTTTAATCAAGGTGCTCAAGTTTTATTACAATATAGATCTTGATTATGAATCAGATTGTCTTGACTGCGTGTAGTTTGAAGCAACTGCAAGTGATACGAGAGCTGGAATCTGACTGGACAGTAGGAAGGACATAGAAGGGACCTAGCATATAATAGCCACTGGTGGCACTACGATCGAACCTGGAAATTCCAGCCTAGTTTGCCAAGGGTAGAAACTGGACTTTCAAAGTCAGTTAACGCCCCTGCCTCGGGGCGATGGTGAGTACCATGCATGGGTCAAAAAACAAAATCATACTAACAAACAACTTGACACTACAATCACACTTCACTGACATTTGTCTAGTGTCCAACACTACATCGGTTCTTCACAAAGAATCAAAAGGACAAGAAGTGATGACTGATGGACCTTTTAGGTCCATAGAATCTCGTCCTTTAAGGAATATATAAAACTTTCAGAAATCATCATGAATGTTATCAGATGCGTTCATGTGAATGAGAACTAGACGTTCATATCAACGCTTGTGTTGACATGAGAAACACTTTGCCCAGAGCTTATTTTCTTATATGTAGAGGGTACAAACATTTGGTAGAATAATTCATTCTTTTGGACTTGTCAGGACTTGCTTAAATATAGATTCCTGAAAAATTAAATCAATGCTATTTTTCAACGTTCTGACCAATTCTAGCTTAAAATTTTGACATTTCAAGAGGGTCAAAACAGCCCTCGTATCCTCCCACATCCATTCCCTTTCATTCAAAACAGCTGACATCTTACAGTTTCTGGTATTTTCACAGGTGATCTGCTTGTGTTGATCTTTGACCTTGTTGACCTTGTGGATGTGTTACTCCTGGTAGATGTGTTCCGTGATGACCTGGGAATGCTGGTTGCCGAGGTGTTTCTGGTTGGAGAGGTGTTTCTTGAAGCACTGCGATTTCTAAGAACAAAATTTGTTGAAACAGTGACTTTGCAAGAGACAAATGGCAATAGAATTTACCAACTATTGATATGGCATTCAGTACCATTAACAAATTTGAATGGTTAATGTTACTGAAAAAAACGTTTTGGATAAAAATCAGTAAATGTCCAAGAAAATGAACTGATCTCAAACCTGGTTGACACTGAAGCAAACATGTCATTTTCAACAACGATATTTTAGGAATAGAACTACCAATCATCCACTACAAGGGGTTATTGTTATAGATTCAACAAACCAATACAGCGTTTGACACTAACACTGGTCCGAGTCTAGAATATGAGGACCAGTAAAATTAAACAAATGCTGGTCCGATAGTTTCGGGGTTTTTTTATGAACAAGTTTATACGACTTTTGAAATCAGTCACAGATCAATCTCGTTGAAATCAAATCTTAGTTCAATGATAAGTTCGCGCTACCGCTTAACAAAGATCTGAAGACATCTCATTAGGGGTCACGTCAGGACCACCTTTCATCCGACCAATCAGAGCGTCGCTTACCAGATCATGAAAGTGACAGTCAGAATGTGATTTTTTATCATGCAACCTCGAAAACTTTAACACGGGTATTCTGAACAACATTACGGGCTAAAAAACTGAATCTATACAATCTAGACCATCCATTAGCCATTCCAGAATGTTCTTTTGTTAAGGTTTCAAATTTTTAATTGAGAATTTGTCAAAATATGTTTCTAGGCGTAGTCACCAATTTTAAATTAACGCCGAAAAGCACGAGAAAGCTGCCTTCTGATTGGCTAATGTCGACTTCTTGTCAGTCATTCCATTGGATGGTTAAAGTTCGCACAAGGTCGATCTGATGTGATTGTTTAACAGTAGTGAGAACTAAGATCTGATTTTTATGAGATTGGTGACAGATTGACCCTAAACTCTACGCAAGACCTGCAACCTGAACAACCCTGTGTGGTGCAAGGGTTACCTTCTTGCCAGGTTTCTCATGCTAATTGCAGGAGTACAACCTTCTAAAACTGTTTTAGATCAGGACCACTGTGCCCAGTAGAGACCCAACAGGACTAGTAGAGTTCCTTTGAGCTTGTCCTTTGCACAACAGACATATTTTGGCCAGTATCAAGCACTGCTATACATCATGTACTTGCCACTCGTGACTGAGACTGTCAAATATTTATAAGATCTGGTCTTCATCGAATTCAGCAACTGGTCTTCAGCAACCGATGCTTGTCATAAGAGGTGACTAATGGGATCAGGTGGTCAGACTAGCCGACTTGGTTGATGTATGTCATTGTATCTCAATTGTGTACATCAATGCTCATCATGCCAATCACTGGATTGTCTGGTCCAGACTCGATTAATTACAGACTGCTGTCATATAGCTGAAGTATTGCTGAGTGTGGTGCCAACCAAACAACAATGTACTTGCCTAACTGCTTTTGACTTGCTGGCTCGACCTTCTTTCCTAGAGAGCAGCTCATGCTTGAGTTTAAGGCTTTCATGGTGCAGTTCTTCAGCTCTGTAACCATGGTAGCAAAAGATTAACATCTCAGCAAATAACTTGATCTGCACAAACAACTTAAACAAAGTCAAAACTAGGTCACACTCCCCCTTTCGCAGCAGGAAGAAAACGTGAAAGCAACCACGGCAGCATAGATTAGGAAAGGAAAGGTACATTCAGACAATGTTCTGGTCTGTGTAAGTGACTTAAGTGGTGGTAGAATCTGTAGCAAACATATTCGTAGTAATTGTCAGTGGTGAAATTGGGTTTAATGTTGCGTCCAAGATTATTGCACTTATATAGCGACGTGCAAGCATGTATGTGTGGCTGCTTGTACTGATGCCGATTTATAGTGCTAGCCGACTGAGATATCATGCTGCAGTTTAACATGAATACCCTACTCCGAGCCGACCAGTTTTAGCCCCTTCATGTCCAGCGCCGCCGCCAGACAGGGTAACAACAAGTACCATCTTTTAATGTCTTTTGGTATGACGCGGCCAGGGATCAAACCCCGGACCTTCAGCTCTCCGGGCGGCGCTCTATCTCTATACCACAGAGGCGGTAATTGTAAGTGGCAGAAAATGATTTAACTACATGTACCAGTCAACAATATCAATATGTACCAGTCAACAATATCAATATGTATCAGTCAACAATATCAACATGTATCAGTCAACAATATCAATATGTACCTGGTACCAGTCAACAATATCAACATATATCAGTCAACAATATCAACATGTACCAGTCAACAATTTCAACATGTACCAGTCAACAATATCACCATGTACCAGTCAACAATATCAACATGTACCAGTCAACAATATCAACATGTACCAGTCAACAATATCAACATGTACCAGTCAACAATATCAACATGTACCAGTCAACAATATCAACATGTACCAGTCATCAATATCAACATGTACCAGTCAACAATATCAACATGTACTAGTCAACAATATCAACATGTACCAGTCATCAATATCAACATGTACCAGTCAACAATATCAACATGTACCAGTCAACAGTCAACTGCAGAGAACATGGAGAATGGAGGCTACTTGTGTGGATTTGCACGAAAACAAAGAGTTGCGCACATGAACATAGCAGGATTGATTGTTCTGGAGTTTCTGGGTTGGGACAGTTTCTATAAGGCTAGCTGTACCTGTATAAGAGTGATGAGGGCAAATCATGACATTTTCAAACTTTTCAAGGATATGGCTACAGCAAGCCATTACATCTCCATGACCTCACCTGTTCTGGACATCCTTGGTCGTGAGTCTCTTGTGGCCAACTGATGTTGCCCAGGCTGTCCTCTGTCTCTGTAGCGAGCCCTTGTCAAAACCAACACCTAGAATTGGGCAAGATTACAACAATATTTCTTAGATTGATTTCATGGAAAACATTGTTTGATCTGGTGATACATCTTGCTGATTTCATGGTTTCAGATATTTGACTAACACAATAACTTTTGTAGGCTGAAATAGAATGATATGCCAATATAAAGAAAAAAATGGGAGTGCTAAAAATATATGATAATTTTATGATAATGTAGGTTGATTACAATTACGTTCACTCACAATCAGGTTGCGATGTGTGAAAACAATGATGAAGTTTAGGGAAGATATAAACTGAACAGTCTCAGACCTGCTCTGGAATGAACCCAACCTATATTATGGCCATAACCATGTAACTGTGTCTAACTGGATCATCCGCTGATGCCATGAAATTGCCAAATATCGAATACTCAATCAATACTCCACAAACAACGAGGAGGCCCCCTTCAAGGAGACCTCAGGCTTAAGTCTTGTACATGTTAACAGGGTATGAAACTCCCAAAAATTTCAGCCAGACCACAGGACTGGCTAGCTGAAATACTTGCCAGCCCTGACCAAAACCTGCCTGCCCACTATAATCATATGTTTCTCAGGATAAGCTAACGGGGTTTCTTTTTGGTTACATTTTATCATTCATCTTTACATGTGAATTAATGATTATCATCGGGAAATATTTAGAATATTGTCACATATGAAATATAACCCGACCGTCGGGCAGGGGGATTTGAAAATCTGGCAGCCCGAGTTGAAATCAACCCGTCTCGGACGGTCGGGCAGGCAGGTATTTCGAACACTGATGTTAATCATGTTGGGAAAATCCAAAAACACAGGTATAGTTACTACCATGACTACAGGCTTAAACAAAATCAGGAACTCAACCAAATGAACAACAGATCCTAACAAATCATGAAAACAACACACAACACTCTACAGAGAATTCCAGCACTTTCAATCACTAGCAGGATGCATTCAAGATTATAGATTACTAGTACAGAGCTAGAGATAAGCTGCGTATTTGCATAAAATACCCCCCAAAACTATTCAAAACCCAATTACTTTCAATTCAAATGGAAAACTAAATTGTTTAAAAACAGCACGCGTAAAAATCCAATGAAACTTTTTCAGCATGTGTACAACGAGCTAATTTCCGAAACACAATTACAAACTAATTTACTTTCCGAGTCAAGCCTATATTTAGAACTATTATATACATCTAAAACATTATTCCATTTTTTTAAAATCTCAAAAAGCTTCCTCATTTTGGGAAAAACCCAATAGAGTGATGAAAAGATGAATGGAAAAATATTGTTTACCATATGAAAAATGTAATAACCCAATTAAAACAGAAACCTTCAAGTAAAATCTCAATTGCTCAAAAAGTTATCTGGAGTTCCGCTTGTATTCATAACTCAAACCACAGCAACTTTCTATGGTAAGACCAGCATCAGCGAATCCCCTCGTCATCAAACCTCGCAGTATTTCTCAGCAAAACCAAAACAGAGCATTATAGGGAGTATTCCATACCTGAAGTTCATGAGAATGTAAGCGAACTGGGTTTATGAAACTTCGATCAGTATTCGATTCCGTATCCGACGTAATAAATTCCCTGCTATGATAAGCGCCCACAGCGATATTTGCCAATATATTGGCTAATGAACAATCCCAATTAGCACCCTACTGATTGATCAATGTACACAAGACTTATTTATTTGTGTATAATACGCACTCGTGTGTCATATGCACCCTTAAGTATGGGGAATTAAATACTGGAAAAATATATCATGTATAATACATGTAATACGCACAGGCTTTTCTTTTGTATCATTTCAAGCTGTCAGCATAAACCATAAAATTTAACTCTTTAACCAATTTATATTCTAATAGGAGCCCCCTATTTCTAATTTGAGAGAGCTGGATGCTAATCATGCTTATTACATCTAATACAGTAGATCACTATCAGCTTGATGCTGGAGGAAAGCCTAAAGTGATGCAGGTCTTCGACATTTACCACTTTGGCGAAATCCAAGAGTGTGTGTATGAAACACAGTCGGGGTGACCCAGGATATGAAGCCACAGTCCTAGGCATGCCCAAGGGACACAACCCTGCACATTTATGAAGCAAGGGAGGTAATCACTACAAACACGTGACTCACCCGTGTTGATCCTGACTGTGTTTTTGTTTGTCCCTGTAGTGTTGTAATGTGGCTCTGTAGCGATGATCCGGTACCTTTCCTCCCGACACAGCTGAAGCTTGCCTGCAATAGGGAGACCACAAACACATCAATGAAGAAATGTTACATGTTCTGGTTATCTGGTACAGAATGAGCAAAATATACTGTCCTTAGACCAACCTCACCCCAACCCCAATAAATGACCAGTCCCTTAGTTCATTTCAACACATGTACGATGTTTGATACCTAACAACATGCATACCTTAAGCATGTAACTAAAGCAACTAAAATGTGTCAAAATGGCTGTTAAAATTTGTTAAATATTTAAATATTTGAAACATGAGGAAATGTAGATAAACATGATAAAGACAGTACAAAAATATGGCCCAAAAATTCATCTTCCATCACAAACTTGCTCAGAGATTTTCTGTTGAAGTTAACAAAATTGACCCATTCCGCTCATTTTAACATAGCCACAATATAACTGGAATACAGTTAAAAGCGGTGTTAAACCCAACTCACTCACTGTATACAGGTGTACTTAAAGTAAGGCTGGGACAAATCCAAAGTTACTACCCGGGTACACATCACCCTATTACCCAACCCTACCCGGGTACTCACTATAGATATTTAGAGATAGGTACAAACTGTCCGATTTGGAAAAGTTTGACCGAAGCCCTGGCAAAATGTGTTTACTTAGATACACATGTAAAACGATCTGGTCATGCATACACTGAAGTTTACTGCATGAAGTTTTATCTTTATTCAAACATATAGAAGTCAGAAGGAATGGGATGATCATTGACTTATAGTGTATGCCTAGAGGTTTAGTTAATTTTTTGTCATTAAACATCATGTGACTAACCACGGGTCCGGGTAGTCCTGTGGGTACCCGATCCTATTCAGGACCCGACCAACCCAAGTTACCCATCCCAGCCCTAACTTAAAGGGGCACTGATCTAACGCAATTCCCCGGACTGGTTGTTGCCTTTGTTATTGTTTTTTCCCCTTGAGTACCCGGATGATACGCAACGCAACTGAGCGTGACCAGAGACTGGGCTACCATCTGCAAGGACAGCTGAATAAACTTGGAGGCTGGAGGCAATATTTGTTTTACGCATTTTTGCATAAACACTGATTGGTTAACTGTGATCTATAAAGATTCCGACACAGGGCGCATGTTAATTAATTCCTTCAGCCTAAACAAACAGACAAAAAGAACGGCGGAGTTCATCGGATGTCCTCATTTGGAAATATCCCAGATGGTTATAGTTTAATACTTTAAAAAAGTATCCATGCAGTAAGAGGATTTTCGGATTTCGGATTGCGTCGATAATATGATTACTACTCCCTTGTTGTCATCCACGTTTTCTCGTATAACCCTACACTTGTGTATTTGTCGTCATTCACTTGATGCTCAGTTAATGAATTTATTACAGGTACAATTAGTGGTAGCACCACTTAGATTACCTGACAAAGGTTCACATTTGGCATTTATTGTGTCTGGGGTAATTATTCAATCTAAATCCAGGTTTGAAGTGAGGTGAAATGTGTGTTATGTAATATGCACGTGGCAGCCCAGCAAGAGATGAATGATCAGTTGATTTACTTTTTTTTGTAGTCATCAAAGGATTAACAGAAAATATGTTGATTGATTAATCACTGTTATCTTGCACAGTGGATATGTCAAAAGTGAGTGTTTACATGTGTAGGTTTACTAAAACAAAGGGAATACACTCATATCATGACGCGAAGTGCCGATGTAAAAACAACATACTTTGTTCAAAGGGTTAACTGATAATACGTTGATTGATTGATCATTGTTATCTATCACTCAATGGATTTTTTAGGAACCGTGGACGTTATGAAAATAGTTGTCACGTGGGCTTTCTCAGCCGACCCTTGAGACTTGACACCTATGTGAAACACCTGAAACAATCCAAGTGATCAGTTGAGAAACGATAACGGGTTATAATATCCCGAAACGATATATATCTTTTAAAATATTTGATTGTTACAGAGACACGTGACATCGAATAAGTTTCTTTGTACAGCTGCAGACGAGTGGGATATTGTTCCTTTGTGTGGATATTCACGGATACATTCCTCAAACAAGGAAGCTGCCTAAAATTTATACACATAAATTTGGTAGGTTGTAATTATGGTATTTGCATTTTGTTTTCCTTCATTTGAGCCGATTCGTTCTTGTTTCTCTAAGTCTTGGTTGGGAAATTCTTCAATGCGCGATAGACGTTGTTTTCACAGGTCTTTTCCTTTGTAAGCGTGTATATATTACCTTAAATTTGTAAAATGTGATTCTCTCAGGCAATTTATAAAATATGTAAATATTTCAGCCATTTTGACTAAAAAATCTGTCCAGATTGATTAAGACGATCAAAAGGGCATACAAACATCACAACAGATTATTATGTAGGATTAAAAGCCAAACAACATAGAAATGTACTTTTCAACGGAACATTTTCAGTCTCTTGGTGATGACATTAAACATCAAAATGTTTGGAATTCGTTATCATAATAATACAGATGGAAATGTTTTTCAGTCACTTTGTAAAATAACTGAATATTTATACGTTTAATAAATTTGTTACACATTTTGACAGTAAAAAAAATATACACACTATAAAAAAAGCAATGCTCAGGTGAAATATTTACTTTGTGTTGCAAGTCAAAATAGTGTAAACGAAAATCGCAAAATTACCACGCAAGTGACTTATCAAAACTTCGTCACCATTACCGATGCTACCCACAAAGATACCTACATTTCCTTATTATCTCGAAAACTGTATTTCATTTTGTTGATCAATGTGACCATACGCCCTTATTACTACCCATAAAAGTGACTAATGCGATTACGAATGGCGCAGCAGAGATCGCGAACTAGTCTAGATTTCTGCTATACATCCGGGTACTCACTGGAAAAAAACAATAACAAAGGCAACAACCAGTCCCGGGGAATTGCGTTAGATCAGTGCCCCTTTAAAGGTGCCAGAAGTTAAAAAATTGCAGTTGTGGACATGTAAGAAAGATAAAGGCTAGTTGTAAACCATTTGAGTGAGTTGGGGTTGACGCCGCTTTCAACAGTATTCCAGTTATATCATGGCGTGTCAGCTTAATGTGGGAGGAAAGCCCGAAGTGATGCAGGTCTTAGACGTTAACCACTTCGATGAAACTCCAAGCACAGGTATGGTTCTGACAAACCTAGAAACCTAATCGGGGTGAACCGGGATTCGAACCCACAATCATAGGTTTCTGGCATGCCCAAGGGACGCAACTCTGCACAGAGAATCATGGCGCCTTAGACTGGGCTACTCGTGCCCCCGACAACCATTTGAACATTTCTGAGATTTTCAGATTTGTCCTTTGCAAAATGTTCCTACATAAGCATGACAAGCAGCTTGTCTCTACTTACGGACTCTGGCCTGCTCGTGTTCATCGTAGATGTTGTAGATGGTACGGAGGGGGATGTCCTGGGGTAGCAGCTCCTCCTGGAACTCTGCCAGCGGCTTGTACAGCAGGTCCACTGGCTGGGGAATGAGAAGACGAGGCTTACCTTACAGTAAATACATCATGTTATTTCTTATCAAATGCCTTCAGGAATCAATACATCAATATAGCTATAAATGATCACACCTCTACACAAACTGCCAACACACCTTGAGAAGTATGTTACATGCATGATAACCTCAAGACAGGCATCATCTTCTATAATTTGCACTTGATAACCCAAGTCAGTTTTACCAATGTTAAAGGTATCCCAAGGGATAGTATATATTGACGCTGTTTAAGGTGTTTTCTCCTATATTATCACTATTTGTCATGGTAAAACTATTGAGGTTAAAGTACATCCCTGAGAGTGACTTTATTATAGTTTGGGTTGCAAATTGAATGAGAATGATGAATGTTTCTTCGTTTGCAGCAGAGCAAACCTAACTATCAAAATACCTAATACCTGACTGTCAAAAAACAGTACGGCAACTGTTAAAAAACGAAACCAGCTTACCTTTACTGAGAACCGTGAGCAAGCCTCAAGCGACCTTGGACTTGACAGCACATACTTGCTGTCTTCAAATTGAGGGTCTTCAAAGTTATTAAGATCAACCTTAATGGGCAGGTAAGCTGGAAAAACAACCAATGACAGTTTCTTCATGAACAAAATCACCTACATGACAAGCAACCTCACAGTTGTATTTGCTCAAAAGAAAATTATTATTTGAACACTATTAAGAGGCCCGTCATTTATTATAGGGGGGTTGCCGGTGAGATTGGAGATTGGAATTGTAAGCAAAATATGATGCAGTTCTAACTTATCTAAGACCACCCCCACATATAAATAAATGAATAGTCTCCCCTAACATGCATCTGATTGTGAAGTTAATGTATTAAAACAACTTCAGGGTTGGCTACTGTTGCTAAGTAAGCTTCAGAACGGTTGACATACTGACCCTCAAAAACTCCAAAAGGTAATTGAAAGGTGGAAATATATTCACAAAATATGTGAATTTCTCATGTCATAACATACTTTTGAGTGTTTTATGGTCAAATCAGCAGCTTTGTTGAGGTCATACCTCCCTTTATGATATAATGCGATAAATCATGACTCTATATTATCGCTTTTACTGGTAGATCTCGTAATCCACACCCCCTGTCAACTGTTTACAAATGTAAATCTAAGCACAATATTTCATTGCTTGGTCGCATACAGGACTTGTTGCGGTATGTCACGGCTACTCAGAAGTATACATGTTAACTTTTTATGATAGTTTCTGGAAAGATTTTGAAGTGGAATTGCCCCTACCTCCATTGTAAATATTTAGGAAAGAACTCATTTTTTTTTACCAAAACTGTGTCGTACACATACTGATTATGCAAAATCCCAAACAGGAAGTGGTGTAAACCACATAATCCACACATATCACACAACAAAAAAAGAGTTGCTCGTCCTTGAGTCAGTGATGACAGGTACCAAACGGATAAAGAAAATCAGCATGATCAGCATCGGTCAATCCTAATTGATGTGTCATAAAAGTTGGACAAAGAACAAGAAACATTTTCCGAATGACATAATTAATAGGTTAGAAAGCTTGCGCCAGTACGGTCCACTATAAATTAACTACCGCAATAACATAGTCTAGCGTACCATCCTGAATAGAATCTATGGCTTCAGTTTTATAACATATACAGGCCGGGTATGATTAAATTCTCATCATCCACAAGACCGTGCATCTAAAGTTCATAACATTCTGAAGTTTTCTTAACATGCTTAAAGCTATCGTAAAAAGTCTGCCATTTATATCCACAAAAGTTATGAGTTCTTCAAACGTTTTCTAATTTGCCGCCGAGAAAGAAAAGCATGCAGGTGCTTGCACTGGTCAAAATGTAAATATATCCATGAGATAGCTAAATAATAAGGTAATGCATTATACTAATCAACTATTATAGTTACCATTGTCATATCCCGATGTTTCTGACGTAATACTTATCCTCGTTGTCATCTTGTTTATGGAAAATGTGCCTAAAACAGCATCCAAAGCGTCATTCGACACACATAACAACCGAACGCCACCTTACGGTAGAGTAACGGGTTGAGTAAAAGGTGTAACGAGATTTTCTGGAAAAGAGAAAAAGCAAAATATAATGGAAACGCCTTAGCACACTCAAGACTCTGATATATATGGAAAATACAACAAAACTTGTGTATCTGAATATAGCACTAAGTGTTAATAGCAACGATATAATATGCTATTTACTTTGTGTTCGTTTGAAATATTCCTGAATTTAGTTAATGCAAGCCGGAAGTCGCATGAGAAATGAGAATGGCAGCCGAATACTTCAGTATCGGAAGTTCTGTTGCTATCACAACATGCCACAACATAGAATATAGAGGAGAAGTTCTTGCATTTGACTGGACGTCCAAAGTCCTTGCTATCAGTATCCTTTTTTATGTAACATTTATCATACTGTTTCTCAAAAAATGCGAACGAATACGTCACGGTGACTGCGTTCAGTTTTCGATCACTATGGTTACTCTAGATCATCTGAGCAGACATGTGTTTTGTGTTTGACCCCAGATCGTATATGTTTATTCATTTAAAGACATTTGTTATTTAGTCCGTTACCTGTGAGTTTTTCATAAGAATATTGTTTATTTTGTAGTTATATGTTGACTTGTGGTTGATTTCAGTGACAGATATGCCATGTCGAAGTTTAGATGTCAAGCAACATAACATGTGTCAATATATTCACATAATGTTTATATTTCTTTAACCTCTAAAAGAGTCTGACCCTACTAATGGAGCCAGGGGTCAAAGTGATGTCAAGCTCATCAACTTGGCCCTGGTCAGTGATGTGAAGGTCCTGAAAGAAGCTGATGATCCACCACAAGCCCTCACAAATCTCAATCTACCCAGAGTAAGATTATTATTGTGAAAGGAAGCCTAGTGTATTATGACAGAAGCTGCGACATCATAGCTTTGCATTGTGTACTGCTCTACTTTTGCTGTCCAAGATATATTGGTTGCTAAATCATAGAAACAAATTTTTCACACAGTATCATTTTGTTATGGAAGACAAATGCTGATTTTTTCATCAGTCTCAATGCTTGAGCGATTAATCTAGAACTGAGGCGAGTATTTTGTCCCCAAATCTGCACCTAATGTTAAAGTTGCCAAATTTTCATTAATAATCTCTGTATTTCATTGATATACAATGTGAAAGAGGTTTTGACACTTAATTGTACATTACTGAATGCAATTTGAATTTAAGAAACTAAGTACTTTGAATATAAGATATCCCAGTTTTGAACAAAATAGCGATGTTTTTCCTAATTTGCCTGCCAAGGGCACTTAGTTTGAAATGCCAGATAAATCTCTGCCATTGCACACAAATTGTGTTCAAATGCACGTTTGACATGTTGAAGAATATCATGGAAATAGGTATCACCCCCATCCAGTTCATCATGTTCATATACCTTTTTTGTACACCAAATAGCAAGGCCATTGATTGTGCCAGACTTTTGGGACTCCCATCTGAAAATATTTCAGTCAATGAGGGTATTGTCAAAATAAGAAAATAGTCCAATCCTGAAGAATTTCTTTTAAAATTTAAAAACATGTATATGCAAAACACTCCAAATGGTCTATCCCTTGAAGTACATTGATGTGGTAGCCTTGTAAGGTTGATCAACTATATATTCTGTCACGAACATTACCCAATGACTGATCATTTTGTATTACGGACAGTTACAGATACTAGAAGTCACATTGTTTTGATTTGTGAATTAAGTGTTTGTCATACTGATGTATTAAGTCTAAATAAAAGCAAAGGAATCTGAAGAAGTGATAAAAGGCAATGAAATTTTTAACCTGTTTTGCTCTCAAACAGTACCATCTGTCATGTCGTATTCAATGAAAATATGGTTTTACATAGATGAGTACTAAAATGAGCAGTGGGGGTAATTCAAGGTGTTTATGCATGGTGTATATTACCAGATCATCATGTTTGCTAATAGACCAATGAGGGGCGGTCGGGTAGCCTAGTGGTTAAAGCATTCACTCGTCACGCTGAAGACCCGGGTTCGATTCCCGACATGGGTACAATGTGTGAAGCCCATTTCTGGTGTCCCCCGCCGTGATATTGCTGGAATATTGCTAAAAGTGGTGTAAAATCAAACTCACTCACTCTCTCACTCACTCATTAATAGACTAATGAAATTGTTTTGACAGATAAAGAACCGATTGAGAGATAGTCTAGATGAGAAGCGGAGACAAGTTAACTATGTTGGAGTCGGTGTACCACCAGAAGGACAGAAGATCTTCTTTGCAATAACAAAAACGTAAGTAAATTTCCTTTCTTTCACCCCCAGTAGTGATTCCTGGATGACCATGACATGCTTCGATCTCATTAAATTCAGATCTTTGACTCTTTGGCGTGAAGATCTGACAATGACGTCCTCTCCATATAATGTTCTTGTTAACCAATCAGCATCGAGGCATCACAATTCTTGGTACGGATGGGCAAAGCATCCAGACGAGCACATCCGATTTCTGTATCTCAAAAGAATCTAAGCAACCATTCTGAATGCAGATAAAAAGGCTGTGCCTGCATTCACCATCAGAGATCTGGTCAGGTTACTGGGATATTTGTTATCATTAACATATATCTAAGATACCGAAAATTTGTGTCTAACAGATGCAACGTTTGAGACACAGATTGCAAAGCAATTTACTGAGGACACTAGCAGGATCAGGACTACATCTATACTTGGAGACATTTGTGGCTTCAAGTATTTCACCAAATTTAAGACAGTTGGATTGGGTCTAATTACTCTGAATATGTTTTTTAGCTGTGTTGCACATCAGACTGCATTTTTATTATGAAAATGTAAATACCAGGAAGAATCTAAGTAAACGTGATGTCTCATTCCTTTTGATAAATGGCAATTACTTTAGCGGGCAGACCAATGGATTGCCATGAAAAACAATTACCAGTACTGACCGTTATTTGGTGCTTACCTGAAATATTCATGTGTAGGCAATTGTCTTAATGTTGATATGGTAGCTATGCCACTGGCGAAGAAACAAGTTTCAATTGGAACTGTATTGACTGTTTTGTCACTGTTTCAACTGCCGAAGGGCAATTAAACTTTAAAATTCTACTTACCCAGCATAAGCTAAGGGGAGATGTGCAGAATAGAAATGACTAGTCTGCAGTTGAAAATTTATGATGCATCTTCGATTGAGACTTGTTATACTGGAGGCCTGGCAAAAAGTATTTAGGCAAACAGAGCTCCAGATAAGCTTTTGGTGTTGTGGGTATTTTACCCACGCATTTTAAAATCATTGGGTATCAGTAATTCTATCTGCGTATTCAAATTTCTGTTACCCACTAGTTTTTACACATGTGGGTATTTAAGTTAATATTTAAAAACACTATTCATCTAGTCCCTGCAAACTGGTGTCGTGTGGGTTCGAGGGCACAAGAAAGTGTGATGGCAAATGATCATGATGTAACTGTCATCGTGAAGTTTGGCAAGGTTGACGGAATGCCCGTTTATAATTTCAAAATAAGTTGCTGATTTGCTAATCGAATACGCGGGGTTACTTCACAATATTTTGATGATACGCACAAGTTTTATTTTTGTAGCTTATCTGTAATGTTTGTTGCGTATTTGATACGCTTGGATTTTATTTTACTGCATATTTCTGCATTTCTGATGCGTATTTTACGCAGATACGCAGCTTATCTGGAGCTCTGGATAAACATATGAAACAACCTTGTCATGCATACACTGAAGTTGACTGAAGCTTTATCTTTATTCAAACGTATATAAGTCAAGAAATGGGAACATTAGAGACATGTAGTGAATTTTTGTCATTACACAAGATCACATGACTAACCAGGGGTTCGGGTAGTCCTGTGGGTACCGGGTCCTAATCAGTACCCATCCACCTCGAGTACACAAGGTACCCATCCCTACTCCACCATATATTTCGTGATTGTGTGATGTCTTCGTTATGGCTCGTGTGTTTTGGGAGGACACCACAGCAAAAGGCACTGCTTGCAATTTTGCTTCAATTTTTTTGGCCCAGTCAGCAGTGTATTTGAACCAGGAATATTTGTGTGTTTGTTATGTTGAACATATTGAGTCTTTATTTTATTATGTGTGTGCCTCTGTGTGTCAGTATCAGTGATGTGCGGTGGGACGGCAGTAACATCATCGTCATGGACGAAGTGGTCATCAAACCCCCCTACAGATATGAAGACTGCAGCGCACGCAAGTCTGAGTCGTCACAAGCACTACAACACGTCAGAAAAATAGTAAGTTCAGTTCTACATTCATGTTGCTGATGGCAAGAGATTTTTCATGCCAGAAACCTGTGATTGTGGGTTCGAATCCTGTTTCGCCCTGATTATGTTTCTAGGTTTGTCAGCACCATACCCGTGCTCGTGGGTTTCACCAAAGTGGTAAACGTCTGAGACCTGCATCACTTCGGGCTTTCCTCCCACATTAAGCTGAAACGCCGTGATATTACTGGAATACTGTTAAAAGCGGCGTCAAACCCAACTCACTCAAATGGTTGACAAATAGCCTTTATCTTTCTTACATGCTCACAACTGCCATTTTTTAACTCACTCAAGTGCAGGATGTTTAGTATTTTGACTTACGAACTGAATAAACTTGTACACGAGGAGACTGAAGGTCAAGTGGTGTACATGAACATTCAACTTTTACAATCCTCTACGCCCTGGTAGTGACACACAAGTACAGAGGCCTATTTTCGGTGAAATATGTTTGTGTGACAATATCAGACATGCCTTACAACAGCCTGAGGATTTTGTTAAAGCGTGTTAGTTATAAACATAGTTTACTGAGTGATTAGTTAGAAGAGTGATTTTGGATGATAATGGAATCTCTTTCAAGTGTCTTTTCATATTGAATATATCAACACGTTGATAGAATTTTTAGACTCTCAGGCTTGTCTTTCATTACCTTGGTTTGAGATTCATAAACAAACGCATCACAAAACAGCCATATATATTCACAGGTGATCTTGTTCACTCGTCACACTGAAGACCAGGGTTCAATTCCCAACATGGGTACAATGTGTGAAGCCCATTTCTGGTGTCCCCCGCTGTGATATTGCTGGAATGTTGCTAAAAGCGGTGTAAAACAATACTCACTCACTCACTCACTCACTCACTCACTCACTCACTCAGAGGTGATCATGGTGATGGAAGAACTTAGCGTATACAAACCCTTGAAATATTGACGATGTTTCAGTGATGACAAAACTCCTTCTCTCTCACAGGTATCAAAGTTTCTCCAGGAGGAGAGCAGTCAGGCAGAAAGGAAATCCATGTCGCCATCACCTGCCCCTTCATCATCCTCATCAACATAGTAATCATCATTATCGTTGTCATGGATACCATAACATTGTGAGAGTGAAGAAACAAATATCACTTTACTCATGTGATGTTTTATCAAGGCAGTGGACAATACTTCAGTTAGTTGATTATTTACAAACACTGCATATACCAAGCTCCTCACAGCAATAGCCACCGTGGAGCTCTCCATATTATCGCTGCCACCAGTCACAGCTCCCCACTGTGCTAGGTGGCTGCATGGAGTTGAACTCGCTAAGACTGACCAGTATGTTTCAACAAGTGATGATTGTTGTGAACTGATATCTCACTTCTCTCCCCACCACACCCACCCCTTAATTGTTGTTTGTAAAAAAATACCATATTCGACGTAATAAGCGCCCAGGGTGCATTTAAAATTAGAAATAGGGGGCTCTTATTAGAATATTATTTTGGTGAAAAAAACAGAGTTAAAGGATAAATTTGGTGGTTCATGCTGACAGCCTGAAAGTTTATATGCAACAGATATATTTTTCCAGAATTTAATTGCCCATAATTAAGGGTGCATATAACACACGAGTACACAATATACGTGAATAAATAAGTCTTGTTTACATTGATCAATCCATTGGGTGCTAATTTGGATTGTTGACTAGCCAATATATTAGCAAATATCGCCGTGGGCGCTTGTTAGAGCGGGGCGCTTATTACGAATACGGTAGTCACTTATGGTTTCCAATATCATGTAATTTGTATAGTGAGACTGTACGGAGGATGTGTTTCTGTTGGTCTGCTATCTCGAACTAATATGATGAAACAAACTGACCTGAATTCACCTCAGAAGTAGTAAGTCAGTCTTCGACATTTTACGATTCACAATGATCCTGATAATGATTATCTTGGACAAACACAAAAATATGCATGTCATATCATTTCTTGTTGGAGGGAAAATGTTCAAGATTCTAGTAAAGACACTTCCACACTGGTGGCAGCGATGATACCGGAAGAGTTATGAAAGTGTTGCGCTCGAATGGACCTTGTGCGTTTAAGATCCAAGGGAGATAATCTGTTCGACCTTCCTTGTTGAAGACTCAAGGACTCGCATAGTATTGTGTTGTCCTCCAGTGTTCTACTGATTAATGACGCAGTCTGGTTAAGTTCTGTTCTTGGGGAGAGTGGAAAGTCTGCCAGAGTCCTAAACTGTTAAGTTGTATTTATTTTAGACAATTGTGATGTATGCCTGTGGTAAGACTATATATTCAGTATTGAGTTCATATGGCACAGTGATGGAATGCTTTAGCTCTTGTAAATAAGGAAATTGAATACTGGTCAAAGCAAAATTAGAAAGTCACCACTGTTTGGCTGTTATAGGTCATACTAAGTGTTTGGCAGATATTAAAAAAAGCATTGTAATGTGGTATTAATTTAATAGAATTACAATATTCCTGAATCAGGTTACGTGGAAAGAACTTTGGTGATATACTGATGTAAGTCTTCCAGTGAGTATTATTCCTGAAATAAATAAGAAATAAACAGAACGAGCCCTCTTCACAATATCAATAAGCTCATTTTTTGTTGTTATTTATTCCCTTACTGAAACAGAAGTTACAATTTGATGAAGTTACCAAGTTACAAGATTGAAAAGCGGCCTATTCATAATGTTAGTTCCTATGATGCATTATTGATGCATCTGGTGAGGATCTTTGTAAAAAAGGTATTGTGCATTGATTCAAAGACCTGACAAGCATTTTCTTTGTAATATGAGTTTATTTAAACTTTCAGTGCATTCTGAGTTTTTGATATTGGTAATGCATTTTTGACCATGTTGACTGATTATTCAAGGAAAAGGAAGACTTTCGTGTCATTAACTGTGTTGCAGTATTGTTGAATTGAGTAACTGATTGACTGGCATTCTCAAAGTTGACAAGTAAATCAGAAAACAGGCCACGTATTTGATAACAACTTCTAGTTTATTGCATTGAGCGACGTTCAGATGTAGATTCATATACCATTATCAAGCTCATCACCAATTTTTTTATCCATAAAGTTGTATCTTTTCTGATTGTTGAGCATGTCAAGTTTCTGTTCTCATAGCAGGAAACTAATAGTGGTGCCAATCATGTCAAGACAGTTCAGAGACGACCATATATGGCAGTGGTCATGAGATTATGTACCTCCTACTTTTGTCATCTCCTGTCTCTGTACACGTTCCCAGTTGTCTTAGGCGCCGCAACTAGGTGTGCAGACCATATATGGCAGTGGTCATGAGATACTGTACCTCCTACTTTTGTCATCTCCTGTCTCTGTACACACGTTCCCAGTTGTCTTAGGTGCATGGGTTCGAATACTAGATCCCCCTTGGGGTTTGCAAGCATCATACCCTTGCTGCTGGGGTCCATCAAAGGGGTAAATGCCTTGGACCTATATCATTAAGGGCTTTCCTCCCAGACTGAGCTCACACTGACATGCTGTGATATATAACTGAAATACTGTTCAAATGGCATCAAACCAAACCACAGGACTTTAAAGTTCTCAGTTCCTCATGAGCATGGAATCGACAAACAGTCCAAATGTCTCTTCTGAACGCTGTGACAAAGATCAACATTGAAAATCATGGTCTGTTACAAGCCCTCACTATATCCTACTAAAAAAAAGTTAGGACCCTCGATTCGCTCATATTACTTTAGTTACTGTCCTGCCATGACTCGCAGGATTTGCTATGAATGAATGCCGTGTAAAAATGTTTTCCTGTATTAAGAGGGGTAGGGAAGTCCTTAAGCTAGAAGACTTCCAAGTTGTATTGGAAATGGCACCAACAAGACAGGCAGAGAACTGGCATTTGATTGAATGGCTATTTTTAACTGTGTTGCAATCAAACTGACTCAACTGAAGCTGAGGTGTCGAAGGGGGATATAATGGATATGATATTTTGTATTATTGTGAATGGTGGTTATTTGACCGCAGTGGTCACCTAGGTGTTTGTAGACCTTGATGGATGAGCATCTTGCATCAGTTCTTGATATGTGGAGTATTTCTCTCTTTCTATGATAAAAAATATATCCATATGCATTGTCTTGCTTCATGTGCAGAAATATTGCCATTGTACTTTTAACAACATAATTTAAGAGAGTATACATTCATGTTTCTGTGAGTATAGCTCAAAATATTTTATATTGTCACAGCATGTATGTATCCAAAAGTAATGAAGGTATATTTTCTTACACTGGTAAGTTCAGAGAAAGTCAATTATGTCTTAAAATAGGTATTCCACAAACTCAGAATATTCTACAATTGGAATTTTCAAATCAACACATATTTCCTTTAAATACATATTTGTCAGTTCTCACTCCTTGCAAAAATTGTGTTTTTACCATATTAAGTGGTCCAACCTAATGTAACCTCCCTCTGTGAAGGGGGGAGTCCTGTCAACACCATGGGAGTGAATCTCCTTGCCAATTCACAATAAAACATTGCTTTTAAAAATGCTCCTGTCCCGAGTCCTGTGTTAATTCTTTTCTCCAGCAGAATCCCTGTGAGTCGAGATAGGTCCCTGGTCTCCATGGTAGCACGTGTGTTGATTTATGATGATCAATAGTCAGTCTCATTTCAATGAGACCTTTTACTCCATAACATATCGCCCGTGAATATCTGAGGACACCTCTATAGGACACCTTCAGTCATAATGATAAATGTGTGGCTTCTGGAGGTAACGGGTGGCACGGGTGGCCCAGTTGTCTAAGGCGCCGCGATTCGCTTTGCAGAGTTGCATCCCTTGGGCACGCCAGAAACCTATGATTGTGGGTACGAATCCCGGTTCGCCCCGATTTTGTTTCTAGGTTTGGTCAGCACCATACCCATGCTCATGGGTTTCACCGAAGTGGTAAACGTCTGAGACCTGCATCACTTCAGGCTTTCCTCCCACATTAAGCTGACACACGGTGATATAACTGTAATAATGTTAAAAGCGGCTTTAAACCCAACTCACTCACTCACTCACTGAAGGTAATTTGATGTCGGCTTTCTAAAACTATTCGGCTTCATCTATTAACCAGCTGGACTCCGTGATATGATCTTAGCCCAAAAAAACACACACAGAACACAAATTCAATGGTATACCAAACAAGAGGATGTATAAAATATCCACAACAATATAACAGGGCAGCTTTATTTACATTCATACATATTTACAAGACTGGTGGGTTCAGGATAACAGGGTTTGACTATGTTTTGTTTGTTTCTTTGTTGTTTAATGCCGCACTCATCATATTCCAGCTATATGACGGCTGTCTGTAAATAATCGAGTCTGGACCAGACAATCCAGTGATTGATATCATGAGCATCAATCCACGCAGTTGGGATCGATGACATGCATCGACCATTAGAAATGCTGTATATTTGGATAAAAATATTATACACTGAGCAAAATACTGGAAATGAAAAATGTTACATTGATACAAAAGTAAATATATGTGTTTATATACGAGGGGTTATCAAAAAGTTTTGAGCCTCACACAGTATTCCTGGTCGAATGGTACAATGCGCTACACCTGATGTACATGAATGTCTTAGCTACTGATGCTATGTAGAAACATATTGCTGGCTGCAATTATTTTGTCACAACACTTTGTGGTAGAGACCTACCTCTAGTGAATTGGCAAAATGGACAAATCTGAGTACAGAGCGGTGATAAAGTTCCTTGTCCTAGAGGGTCAATCTGCCAAACAGGTGGAAGAGCGATTGACTGCAGTTTATGGAGAGTTTTCCCCCATCGTCTGCAACTGTCAAACGGTGGGTGAAGGAATTTCAGCGTGGCAGAGAGAGCTTTGAAGATGATGCCCGGTCCGGACGGCCATCAACCAGTACCAGTCCTGAAAACATTGACACTGTACACAAACTAGTGATGGAAAACCGCCGTATTACTATCCATGAGCTAGAAGAAACAACAGGCCTATCATATGGATCCATACATAATATAATTCATGGCAAACTCCACATATCCAAAGTGTGTGGCAGATGGGTCCCGAGAATGCTTACAGATGACATGAAGCTAACTCGGTACAACGCCAACCCAGGTGATTTTTATTTTAGGATTGTAACCAGTGATGAAACCTGGGTTTATCATTATGATCCGGAGAGCAAACGGGAGTCGATGAAATGGAAACACGCCACTTCTCCAAAGACAAAGAAGTTCAAAGCCACCAGATCCACCAAGAAGGTTATGATGACAATCTTCTGGGACAGCAAAGGAGTGATTCACATCGACTACCTGCCCCATGGCACCACAATGAATGGGGAGTATTACGCCAAGTTATTGAACCAGGTGCGCCAATCCATCAAGATGAAACGCCGTGGAAAAATCCGTCGTGGGATTCTGCTTCACCAGGACAACGCACCAGTATACTAGAGCCGTGTTGCAATGACAGCTGTGCAGGAACGTGGCTACGAACTCCTCCCTCACCCACCCTATCCTCCAGACCTAGCCCCCAGTGACTTCCACCTCTTTCCCAGGCTGAAAAAACACCTCCGGGGCCGGAGATTTGAAGATGACGATGAGCTAACTGCTGCTGTGGAGGGTTGGTTAGGGGACCAGAATGTTGACTTCTACCGATCGGGCATCAGTGACTGGCAAACTAGGTGGAACAAGTGTGTGGAGTTGGGAGGGGACTATGTTGAAAAATAAAGTAGTAACAATCCAATTCTTTTACTTTTTCTGTGTGAGGCTGAAAACCTTTTTGATATCCCCTCGTATATACTCACCAAAAGAAACGCGAACCTGAGAAACAGAGGTATGTAACTTATATATATGTATGTATATATAAACAAGTGATTTCATCAGGTGATAAAGTATTAAATATATTTTTTAAAAACAGTCCAGATATTTGTGCTTGTAAAACGACAGAGAGGAGTGTGTACTTCAAGAACAGATGTTTCCAATGTGCACCACTAACGACAAAACTATCCATCAAGTGTTTCCACCGAGTGTCTTCCTTATTCCACACTTAACAGGCTAATCCTGCACAGGCAAATGGTGCATCGCGACTCATGGATCTATGACGTCACATGTGATGCGTTCCTGAGCGACGGTGCACAAAACTTAACAGGAAGGTCGTTTGTGCATCGAACTAATCTAATATCTCTTATATGAGTAATTCTTCATTTATTAACCAACATGTATGTTATTCACGCTGTTTTGGCGGTTAGTATAAAAATATATATAGATATAGTTATTGATATGATATAAATGTCATATCTATATTAGCACAAACAGTGCATGTACATATTTTTGCGAATCCATTTGGATAATGTATAGTTATTTGTTTGTGTCCGACCCTAACCTGAGCTATCCCCAACCACGACCCTCGCCCCCACCCACACGTCTGCACATCTATTTCTTGGATGGCTTCTTCCTCTACGACCGCCTCCGTGGTCAGTGGTAGAGCGTCCGCCCGGAGAGCGGAAGGTCCGTGGTTCGATCCCCGGCCACGTCATACCAAAAGACGTTAAAAGATGGTACTTGTTGTTACCCTGTCTGGCGCTCGGCATTAAAGGGCTAAAATAAGGACCGGTCGGCTTGGAGTCAGTATACTGTGTCTGAGTGGGGTATTCATGTTAAACTGCGGCATGGTATATATCTCAGTGAGCTAGCACTATAAATCGGCATCAGTCCGGACTAGTACAAGCAGCAACACACACATGTGCATGCACGTCGCTATAAGTGCAATAATCTTGGACACGACGTTAAACCCAATTTCACCTCACCTTCTTCCTCTACACCGCCCGCTCTTCATCCAGTATCTTTAATTTCTCCTCCCTCATCTGGAGCTGGCGACGTTTCTTCTCGTCTTTCACAGCTTTGGGATGCATTTCTCTGGCCAACTGTTGCCTCTGAACTTGCTTGCAAGAGATGATTGTAATTGGGACATGTCAATCAAATCGAACGAATGCACATAAGCATGTCAGTATCAGCGTTAATGAAGCGTTAGGTTTCATCATATAGTCTCACTTAAAGATCACAGATCATAATATTTAATAATAGGACTGTCTCCCTAGAAAAAGGTCGACCCGTGAAGATCCGGGGTAGAATAGGTCTTCAGCACCCATGCTTGCCGTAAAACGCGACTATGCTTGTCGTAAGGGGCGACTAACGGGATCGGGTGGTCAGGCTCGCCGACTTGGTTGATGCATATCATCGTATACCAATTGCGTGGATCGATGCTCATGGTGTCAGACACTGGATTGTCTGGTCCAGACTCGATTATTTACAGACCACAGTCATATATAACTGGATTATTGATGAGTGCGGCGTTAAACAACAAACAAACAAACTAGAAAAGGGTCATCTGTGACCCGAGAGATTGAGTCTCGCAATGGTTCGACTAGGCTGCTTTTCTTGATAAAATGCACCCTCATATATTATTCTGTTTAGGTATCCATTCTTCATGAATAACACCTGTCGACAGTTACACAGATGCCTTGAACAGTTTTTTTTAAAGCAGAATTAAACAAATTATAATGCAACCTGCCGCATTATTGAAAAGAAATGGAAAAAAAATCTAACAGTTAACACAGACAGCTATTTCGCAGCATAGTTGTATTGCTGAAATAACATTATCTTTTGTTGCAGTTAAAATGCCCGTAAAATGAAGTTACATGTAAAATATTTGAACTTCAAATTGTTCTCTGAAGGAACATAAAGGTGTATTTTATATGAATGCAAATATATCTTCGGATCATAGGTTTTCGCACGGCCACGTTTATCGCGATTACTCGCGCTATAACGGGGGATGTAGCATCACACAAATATTGTAAATACTCAGATGACGGCTTGTGTTTTTAGAGAAAGTTGTCTTTAATAAGTGAATGAGATGTTTTACAGTTATTCAGGTGATTAGAGTGAAAGCTACGAATGTTTCTTAAGTGTCCGAAGACCCATAACAAGGGCATATATTTACAAATCCTATATTCTAGATATAATTGGAGGTTGTTGAAAATATTCCTAAATACGTTTGTATGACTATCACATATATATTAACTTCGCGTACATAAAGAACAAGATCAGAGTGAAGGATTCGTGTGAATCCTCAACGCGGCCATTAGTGGTATTCCAAAGAAAAATAGGCTTACCTCCCTTAGAAAAAATATTCAGATGGATGGACTGACGTTCAGAATCATATTCAACAGGTCTGTGTCGATTATTGGAGGAATTCTATTGGCTCACCACATTCCCCCTTCCAGGGTAGAATGGTAAAAGTGTCATTTTATATTAATCTAACAACAATCAAATGGTAATTACAGTGAAGTAAATAACGCAGTACCTTTTCTCCTCTCTGGTTCGGCGCACTGTAGGAGCATGCCGACCTAAATTTTAATGCCAAGCGAAGTTGCACATGCGTATTAGACACCACTGTACCTGTTGGCTTTTTGTAACGTGTTCTGCGCCACAGAGTTAAGAAACCAGTTAAGTAAATGTCATGCGTGACCAAATAATTTCAACGCTTTGTTTAGTTGCTGACACAAGACGACTGTTGTTAGACTTATTAACTGCCACGCCCACTCCTATTCCATTTGATATCTGTGCAAGGTAACTTAGGCTTCTGGGCCACAGGTAGGCATCACTACATGCATGTGCACGACTCAACCCAAGCAGTTGTGATGCACACAAAACATCAGTCCTTGATGCACATGTTGTTTATCCACATGCAGTGTAATGTGTAATGGTTTAAACTCTGACGCCGCGATTCGTTGTGCAGAGTTGCGTCCCTTGGGCACGGCAGAAATCTATGATTGTGGTTTCGAATCCTGGTTCGCCCGATTCTGTTTCTAAGTTTGTCAGCACCATACCCGTGCTCGTGGGTTTCACCGAAGTGGTAACCGTCTAAGACCTGCATCACTCTGGGCTTTCCTCCGAGATTAAGCTGACACGCCGTGATATAACTGGAATAATGTTAAAAGCGCCGTTAAACCCAACTCACTCACTCACTCACTTTAAACTCTGAAATGTGTTTACATTTAAAAAACACTTTCATTCACATAGTATGATACAATACATGCCTCAAATAATCTTCACTTTATTGTTGACATTCACTAATTCAACTGAATAATTGAATCACAAGAATTTGTAACTTTACTGTTCACCGACCAGTTACCACCATTTTTGTCATGTTATTCGGACATATCCCGTGTTCTGTTGACTGTACTAATAACTTTAACTTTTGTGAAACTATGAGCAAGAGTGCTTATTTCTGTCCAGGAAATAAGATTCAGTTCATTTCTGTTATAATGATATGATAGGGAAACAAAACAGTGGAAATAGAACTTTCCAGTGGACTTACTGTACCAGTTATCGCCATCGTCTTTACAGCACGTGCCCCATGATCACGAGCACCGCTTCAGTTATACAAATTACATGTATTTTTTATTAAAATGACTAAGAAATGCTATTATCAATTTATCGTCTGCAAACTGACAAAAAAATATTCCCCAAATTCGATCTACACATGCTTATCCCTAACACTATGTACTATGGATTTCATGATATATACAGGTTATGCAGTTTTGGAAATATAACTCTAATAGGCTTCAGAATTGTATTTTCGGGATAGCAACAAATGACTCAATCTCATTAAAATCAGATCTTTGTTCTCGCTATCGCTAAACAAAGATCTGAGGACATACCATTTAGGGTCATGTCAGAACGACCTTTCATCCAACCAATCAGAGCGTCGCTTACTAGATCATGAAAGTGACAGTCGTAATGTGTTTTCTAATTTATGCAAACACAAAATATTTAACACAGGGTATTAACAACGCGTTGGTCTGACATTGATTAATGAACAATTTGCATACTCGTATATGCAAGAGGCCTACGTATGGTTCTCAGTAGGAAGTGACAACTTGGAGACGATGACTTGCGGTATATACAGTTTTACTTCATACATGTAGATATATACATACAAAAGACACTTTGTGCCAGGTCAGCACATAGTGGTTGTGGTTGTTGTCTTGGTGTCTGGAGCACCCAGCCAAACCTAGCTAGGCTAAGGGTAAGACCTTTCTTTCTCTCCTCACTGGACTAAGGCTTATATAGCCAAGGTCACCTGACATTTAGTAAGTAATAAATATAAATGTAAACAGTAAATCATCAGTGACATACTTGCACATCTCGTTCTGGATGACAGGCGGTCGATGTACACAAAAATGGGGATTAACAAATAGGATTAGCATCTTATAAATAACAGCAATTAAGTGTTTCAAGGCATAAAGATGTCATGGCTCCAGGGTAATGAGCTTTTGCAATTAAATGTTCTTCAGACAATGGGTGTCGTAAATCAGTTGCTATGACAGTATTCCAAACAACAGTTACAGATTTTATGATTATATCCATACAATCTAGGCCATCTATAAGCCATTTAAGAGTGTTCTTCTGATCAGTTTTAATTTTTTAATCGAGAATACGTCAAAATATGTTTCGAAGCTTAGTCGCCAGTTTGAAACTAGTGTCGTAATGCTCGAGAAAGCTGCCATCTGATTGGCTAATGTTGATTTCTTGTCAGTCATTTCATTGGTCGGTCAAAATTTGCGAAAGGTCATTCTGACGTGACCTGTAATGAGATGTCCTCAGATCTTTGTTTAGTGGTAGTGAAAACTAAGATTTGATTTTAATGAGATTGCAAATAACTGAAAGTTCATTGTCATGTTGTTTGATTTATATTTTCGCGTGAATTAGACACGTGACCGCCCATGTGCCTTTTCTTAAGTTGTATTTGAGCAAGGTGATAATGGTGGGATTTTTTTCAAATATTTCCTCACAAGAGCCTGTTTTGTTAATCATTTTTGGATAAATAGTTCTCTTTTCTAATGAAAACAAGCAATAGTAAAATGGAGATGCGATCATGTGTGCGTTTTAACAGGGAGTTAGGCGATAATTGCTCCTTGGCGATAACTGGTCGCTAGCCAGTACACATATATAAAGATTAATTTATGTATTAACCATGTGAAGGAGGGTACATAAGTTGTAACTAATAATATTTTTATTTGTGTATAGCCAGAAACCATAAGTCATACACAAGTCATAAAATAAGTCTCTGGTATAGCTGATATTTCATGTGGGTTTTTGCATTAGAGATGCAGTGTGACGCATGTTTGTGCATTGCGTCCCTGTTTGGTTGTCAAGGTAGGCCCCTAGTAACCTATGCTTGTCATAAGAGGCGATTACGGTAAATGGATCGGGCAGTCAGGCTCAGTGACTTGGCTGATTGTATGTCATCGTACTCTACTGACATTGATACATTTCTCATAAAACAACCACTGCGTTAGGCCCGTTGTCTGACCCAAGTCATGGTATTGTCATAGCAACCGATTTGGGACAACCATTGTCTGAATGAACATTTACTTTCAAATATAGGAAAGTCTCGCCCTCAGCCTAGCTAAGGTTAGGCTAGGTGCTCAGGGGCACCAACAAAACAACCACTACCACTTTGTGCTGACCTGGCACATAGTGCTTCTTGTATATATCTACTTGTGTAAGTAACATTTGTACCCACATGCTACCTGACTTGCCACTTCCTATCTACAATCATACACAGACCCCTGCATATAGGAATGTGCAAATTATCAAATTACTAACATTACATGTGTCTTATGCATCCAGCCAATGAGTTGTTAATATTGTTGACTGCATAATTAAACAACAAACAAATTCTACATAACATAATACAACATTTTAATATGTAACAATATTTATTTACAAATAGGTGTTAAGAAGTGTTGTAATTCTTTCTCATCAATGTCAATATTTCATATGTCCACAACATATCCCAGCTCCCAATCAGTAGATACTCTCTTCCCTGGATGCCATATACCCTAATCAGTAGATACTATCCTCACTGAATGCCATGTACCCTAATCAGTAGATACTCTCTTCACTGAATGCCACATCCCCCAATTAGTAGATACTCTCTTCCATGGATGCCATATACCCTAATCAGTAGATACTATCTTCAGTGGATGCCATATCCCCCAATTAGTAGATACGTTCTTCCATGGATGCCATATACCCTAATCAGTAGATACTATCTTCACTTGATGCCATATACCCTAATCAGTAGATATCCTCATCCATGGATGCCATATCCCCCAGTCAGTTGATACTCTCTCCACTGAATGCCATATCCCCCAATTAGTAGATACTCTCTTCCATGGATGCCATATACCCTAATCAGTAGATACTATCTTCACTGGATGCAATATCCCCCAATCAGTAGATATCCTCTTCACTGGAAGCCATGTACCCTAATCAGTAGATACTATCTTCACTTGATGCCATATCCCCCAATCAGTAGATATCCTCTTCCATGGATGCCATATACCCTAATCAGTAGATACTCTCTTCACTGAATGCTATATCCCCCAATTAGTAGATACGTTCTTCCATGGATGCCATATACCCTAATCAGTAGATACTATCTTCACTGGATGCCATATCCCCCAATCAGTAGATATCCTCTTCCATGGATGCCATATACCCTAATCAGTAGTTATCCTCTTCCATGGATACCATATACCCCCAGTCAGTTGATACTCTTTTCACTGGATGCCATATACCCTAATCAGTAGATACTCTCTTCACTGAATGCCATATCCCCCAATTAGTAGATACGTTCTTCCATGGATGCCATATACCCTAATCAGTAGATAGTCTCTTCACTGGATGCCATATCCCCCAATCAGTAGATATCCTCTTCCCTGGATGCCATATACCCTAATCACTAGATAGTCTCTTCAATGGATGCCATATCCCCCAATTAGTAGATACGTTCTTCCATGGATGCCATATACCCTAATCAGTAGATAGTCTCTTCACTGAATGCCATATCCCCCAATTAGTAGATACATTCTTCCATGGATGCCATATACCCTAATCAGTAGATAGTCTCTTCACTGGATGCCATATACCCTAATCAGTAGATACTCTCTTCACTGAATGCCATATACCCTAATCAGTAGATACTCTCTTCACTGGATGCCATATACCCTAATCAGTAGATACTCTCTTCACTTGATGCCATTTACCCCAATCAGTAGATATTCTCTTCACTGGATGCCATTTCCTCCAATCAGTAGATACTCTCTTCACTGGATGCCATTTACCCCAATCAGTAGATATTCTCTTCACTGGATGCCATTTCCGCCAATCAGTAGATACTCTCTTCACTGGATGCCATTTACCCCAATCAGTAGATACGCCAATCAGTAGATACGTTCTTCACTGGATGCCATGTACTCCAATCAGTAGATTCCTGGAAGACATAATATCTTTTTTCCAATCATTATTTTTTTAAATTTTGTTCTTTTTATTTTTGAAGAAAATATTTGCCTATCAAAGTGCTATGTTGTTAAGCTCTCTTTTGTTTGATGTTTTAAACTGTAAACCAGATAAGATACAGAATGCTTGACATTTTTTCTTTATTGGAACTAACCCAGTCCCCATGGTTATTTCGTGTTCGAATAGGTCCCCAGCAACCTGTGCTGTTCATGAGAGGCGACCAAATGGATCAGGTCGTCAGGGTTGATTTCGTTCATCGTACCCTGATATTATGGATCGATGCTTACAATATCGATCACTAGATCATAAAATGAATAAGTGTGGACCTATTTTCTTTCTTTTGTTACAGATATGGCCACTGACCAAGCAGTGTGCTCAGAAGATGAAACGCTGCAGGAAACAGAGGATGCAGACAAGGAAACCTCCAGTGATAATAAAATACCCAATGATAAAACAAGCAGGAAGAAATTATCTATGGACAGTAGAGAGAAAATCAGGGCTCTCCTTCAAGAAGGTTTAACTCAGCGACAGATTGCCAAGCACATGAATGTTTCTTCCTCAGTGATTTGGAGGTTTGAGAAACGATTGAAAGAAACAGGCGGAGTTGAAGACAGGCACAAGGGACGTAGACCTAAAAAGATACGCGACCCTACCGAACACTGGATAGAAATTGGAGGAGAAAGGAAGTATCAGTGTACACATTGTCAAAAAACTTTCGTGCACTTTTCACAAATTCATGAACATGTAAGAGTTCACACAGGGGAAAGACCATTTAAATGTGACCAGTGTTTCAAAGGATTTGCCCAGTCAAGCGCTCTGAAACGTCATTTGATCTGCCACTCAGATGAGAGACCATTTATGTGCGATTTCTGTGCGAAGTGTTTTGCGGATCCAGCGTCCCTTCGCCTTCATGTCCGCACCCATACAGGAGAAAAGCCGTACAAGTGTAGATTCTGTGACCGACGTTGCACGACAGCTGGGAACCTCAATGCCCACATGAGGGTCCATCGAGACCAATATGACAACGAGAGCAGGACCCACATCAGGATGACAGAAGGGAATTTGACTCAAATCAAGATGGCCGAAAGAAAGGAAGTGATGTTTGATAATGAATGGGGGATGAAACAAGGGAGGGATGAAGACAGTATGGCCAACGAGGAAGATGCTGTAGGCAGTGAGGATGAAGGCATAGATGATGAGGATGAAGGCATGAATGCATGTGTAGGTAGGAAAGAAGGCGTGATTAGTGCACTGAGGGAGGAAGATGGAATGGATAGTGTAGGTAGGGAGGAAGAAGGCACAGCTGCACATGTAGGCCGGGAAGAAGGGATGCACAATAGTGGCTATGAGATGGCATCCACAGGGATCAATGAAGGTTCACAGCAGTATTTAGGCAAGGAAAGGGAGACAGTCAGTATGATGAGAGAAGATGGGTGTCCGATTAAACAAGAACCACAAGGTATGCATTGTATAATCATAAACAGACATGTGTAAGTTACCGGGTATTTGTCTAATTTGCACATCAAAAACAAATTACCTGAAATATATGAAGCGTTTGCACACTAACTGTGCCCATTATTAGATGACCAAAAAGAATTCAAACACCAGAAAATAATTAATGTACTTCACCTGTGATAGAACTTAAATGAATTTGTATGCAATGGTCGAAGAATTGTATCTGAAATTATTGTTTTATCAGGAATAATATATTCCAATCTCATGTTACTTTAGTTGCAGCTTTTACTCTATATGTATTTAAAATTATAAAAACCACAAGCGTAGCATTTTGGTACTGGTGATTGCTGTTGCAGGATATTTTTACGTATGGAACAATTTGACCAGTCACCGTAGGGACTTCCCGCGCGACAGGTATTTCGATTGCGAAAATGTTATGTTGAAATATATTAGCCAAGTTGCCACAAATATGACTTTTAACGAGTCAAAGTATGTCATTTTTAATATATGTATCCATTCTTTAGCAACTAAAGTTCGTTTCAATGCGTCAAAAGCGATAATCTGACTGGTTGCTGTATCTCTTCACACACGATTTCACCTAACTTAATGAAAACAATATTAAATGAAGGTTTGAATAAAATTAATAAAATATATTACAAACACATGTCCAGATATACAATGAACACGTTGTAATAGGAAGATGGTATAATGATGGTATTGAATTGCGTACTTCAGTTCGGTTTTGCTGACTGGTATTTCCGGTGTTATTTGCTTGCGATGATCAGCTGATAATGTTTTTTGAGATGGGGAAAAACATCTATCAGTGTAAAACCTGAGCTTATCAGAAATGTAAGTACGTTTTGGGGAGCCATGCATTACTGCGCGCTATAACTAAGTTAGCGGTTTATTGAAAGGCACAATAGCGAGGAAAAGCTGTACTTGAGATTTGCGTTCCGTATCGTGGCATATCGATAAATGGGCCCACGTTTATCGTATATCGTACCATGGGTCAAGTTTCGCGATGCATCGGAATATCGGTGTATCGTTTCACCCTTATTAAATTGTACTCATCCTGGTCGTAAGTTGAACTGGAACCCGATGGGATAGTTTAAAACTTAACTACCAGATGCCCCTGGATGAATACAGTCAAGTTTCGTTAATCCGACACTCGTTAATCCGACAATCGGCTTTATTCGACACTAATGATGGGAACCAATCAGCGCTATTTAGACCCGTTAATCGGACAGTCTTGCACTCCGACTCCGACACAGCTAATTTGCAACAAATTACCAAAATCACTCATCAATCAGTCTTGTTAATCCGACACAGTGATCAGCGTACTCTGTGGTCATCTGCCCGCGAGTACACAGCCTGTGTTTTGATGTGAGACGAGTCGGCTGGTTGCTGCATATTACAAAGCTGCAGAGTATAAACTTTGCTTAACAATAAACAAGTAATGCTTTAGATAAAGAAAACAGGATTAATCACATGCTTAGATTACCTCAATCTCATTAAAATCAGATACAGGTTCTCCATATCGCATACTATCGATATACTCGTTAATCCGACATAATCATATGCAACCAGCCATGTCAGATTAACGGGAGTTGACTGTATATTGGACTTGAAAATGCTTTGCTATTCCTGTCTGTTTCAGAGATGAGCACAGACCATTCAATGTCTGAAGACGAAGGCCATGAAGTCCTCCTGAAGGAACCAGAGGTAACATTCTCTGTGCTACCAGAACCATCGAAAACACCAGGCGTCAAAGCAAGCAGGAGAAGACTCTCCATGGATGACAGAGAAAAGGTCCGCGCTCTCCTACAGAATGGTACATCCCGACAACAGATTTCTCGGATCATGGATGTATCCTTCTCAGTCATCTGGAGGTTTGAGAAACGGTTGCGAGATACAGGCAGTGTGAAGGACCGCCACAAGGGAGGGCGACCTAAAGCTGTTTATGAACCATCCGAGCATTGGACGGAAATCGAGGGAGAACGCAAGTTTCAATGTAATCACTGTCGAAAAACATTTGTTCACTTTGCGCAAATTCATGAACATATTCGAGTACACACAGGGGAAAGGCCATTTAAATGTGACCAGTGTTTTAAAGAGTTCGCCCAGTCAAGCTCTCTGAAACGTCACTTGATCTGCCATTCAGATGAGAGACCTTTTATGTGCGATTTCTGTGCGAAGTGTTTTGCAGATCCAGCATCCCTTCGTCTTCATGTCCGCACCCATACAGGAGAAAAGCCATATAAGTGTAGATTCTGTGATCGTCGTTGCACGACAGCTGGAAATCTTAATGCACATACGAGGGTACATCGAGATCAAATCAACGAGGAGAACATGGCTCGGATGATTATGGCTCAGATGATGATGACAGAGGAGAGCGTTGCCAAGATGGATGAAGTGAAGGCTTCAGCAGCTGATGATGATGAAGTCAAACAGGAAGATGGAAAGGAAGAGGGAAGGAAGGAAGTTGATCTTGTAAGTGAGGACGAAAATAGATGCCCGGAGGAAGGAGGAAGAGGTACTGCAGACGAAAGCATGGGCAAGGAAGAACATGTTGGCAAGGGAGAGAGTTTTTGTAATGAGACAGGAAGTGAGAGTTGTGAAAGTGACATTGAAGTCGAAGACAGAACCCAGTCAAGGGTGAAAGGTCAAGGAATCGATGGCGAGGCCTCAGTCGTCGAGATAAAGCAGGAACCCCCTGATTCAGAGTGTGTGACCGAGCAGTATTCGCATGATCAGTAACAGACACACAGATAAAAATGAACATTATTTATTATTTGTGCTGTGCACAAGCTTATAAGTTAGCACCTGCTATAGTCAGAACCACAATTCTAAACAGTTTAGCCAGTGTTAGAATTATATTTTTAGATCATCTGGCCTGCAAGGCCATCTGAGCTTATGTTGTTGCAAGTCATCCGTTTTGTGTGGATGTTTGTTCCTCTAAGGGAGGGGAGAATCAAGTTTGTTCAAAGCATCAAAATTGGGATTTCAGTATGGTCACCAGGTAGCCATCCTTGACTTGAAACAAGCAAATTTAAAATTCCTTTTCTTAATAACTTAAAAAGCAAGAGGCGTGAAACTCAGAGTCAGATTTTGCTGCCAGTGGCAATACAACGAAAGTCATGAGTTTGTCAGCGTCTCATCAGAAACCACTGGACCAATGAAGCTGAAACTTCACATACGTGTTTCCACCAATGATTACAGCCCAGTTTGTTTATATAGTATTTATGTGACGAGAAAGAAATCAATATTGTATTCAAGAAAAGCACGAGTATTTTGGACTGAAATGTCATGTAATCTGCGATAAATTCATTAGTTGATACGCGATATTCTCTCATCGGTTTTGCAAAAACATGAATGAAAATTATTTCTTACGGTGAACAACTTTCCTTTAACTTGTTGGATGGCTGCCAGTCATCATTTCCGCAAAGATAAATCGACCGGAACAACGATGAAAACTGTTAGATTTAATGCATCGGAAACGCATTCGAGGACACAGCAATGCTCCGATGCCATTTTGACAGCTTGCGGGTATAGCCTCGTTTTGGAGTTTAACCTCGTGGTCACGCATAAATAATGAGTCGGCTATTACACCCCAGTTTGTTCAAGAGGTACAGCAGGTCATTGCTCAATCATTCAGTATATGCATCGTTAGTAGTGGGGTTTAACATGTATATTGCAGGGTCTTTTTTAACACTATATTCAATTTTGAGCTTGATTTGACCTTTGCACTGAAACTTATAATGGCCTTCACTCAGTAATTTTGTTTTAATATCTATTGATATTTGGTATATGTGTAGTTGGTAGTGGGGCTGACGATATATCTTTCATTTTTAGCAATAGTTTGAAATTCTACCTTCGAACTTTGGAAGATGCTCTTTAATCCTCTGAAAGGGCATTTCCTCACACTGTAAACATCATCTCCTCAGAAGCCACTGGACCAGTGAAGCGGAATCTTCCTATGCTGGTTCCCACCAATAATGACAACACAATTTTTATCTTGAGGTTTGAATAAAATTTTCAATATGGCCACCACGGCCGCTACATTGAAAAACACTTATTATGGCCACTGCTTTTCCATTTCTGCTCAAGATGTACTGTAATGCTTTTAAATTCCCTCAAAATGCTTCTGCTTTTTGCTTCTGGAAACATCTCTTAGATTGTCAGACTGAGGAAGCAGCACCTTAGCATGTATGGTTCACCTAATAATGACATCATATTTTGTTAAAATCATTGGGATTTTACTGTTTTTGTGAATTAATTGTATGACATTAGAAAAGATTCTCTTTAGAAGGTACAGGCTCACACAAGAGTTGTAACTTTGTATGACCTTAACCACGGACGTACATCTATATACGTCTTTGCCTAAACTCAATTGTTGTGTATTGCAACAGTGTTGTACAGTAGTACATATTTACGTACCACTGCTTGTTATATGTTTGTTCTCAGCAACTTTTTCATATTAAATATTTGGCACGGGTGGCCCAGTCATCTGAGGCGCTGTGATTCGCTGTGCAGAGTTGCGTCCCTTAGGCACACTAGAAACCTATGATTGTAGGTTCGAATCCTGGTCCCCCGATTATGTTTCTAGGTTTGTCAGCACCATACCCGTGTTTGTGGGTTTCACCGAAGTGGTAAACGTCGAAACCTGCATCACTTCGGGCTTTCCATCCACATTAAGCTGACACGCTGCGATATAACTGGAATACTGTTAAAAGCAGCGTTAAACCCAACTCACTCACGCAAATGAAACAAAGATATCCTGGTGAGCTACAGTGACGTGGCAATCACAAGTTAGGTGTGCCCTTTGAAATTTACATGTGCCTAACTTAATTCAATATTTGGGGTTCTAGCTTGAAGACTTGTCACACGCAGCTCCAGCACTTGCTTGCTCATTTCACTAATTTAGTAGGGACGGTCGGGTAGCCTAGTGGTTAAAGTGTTCGCTCGTCATGCCGGACCCGGGTTCGATTCCCGACATGGATACAATGTGTGAAGCCCATTTCTGGTGTCCCCCGCCGTGATATTGCTGGAATATTGCTAAAAGCGGCGTAAAACCATACTCACTCACTCACTAATTTAGTTTTTTTCTGTCATATCAAGTTTTTTTTCAAAATTATTTGAAAACTGGTTAGTTGTTGGGCAAAACAATGATAAACCAATCATAAAGACTTCAAGAACTGACCTCAACTTTTGATATGGTCACCATGGCGACATTGTAACATGCAGAAGCTAATATCATACAATGGAACCTTGCTAGACTACCTGTATTATTATGTATTGACACATATGCTGAAGGTGGTTAATTGGAATAAATGTATATCAGTACATGATAAAACAAATTTCTTGTGTATTTTCATCTTTGAGAACACATTTGGTCTGCAGGAGGCAATGCAAGATTTAGAGAATAAGTTTCAAGCTTCAAGAAATTACCACAAAATATATGAATAATCTTATTATTGGCAAGAGATGTTTAACATTGATCATTTGATATCTGGTAGTTCAGGTTGCAAGCAATCTCATTACCGCGAGAACTAAGATCTGATTTTAATGAGATTGGGTTGCAAGTAGGTTGTAAATTTATTACCCATAGTCTTAGGGCTGGGACGAGTCCAAATTTACTACCCGGGTACCCGCTGTTGGTCTCAAGAGATAGGTCCAATTGTCCGCAATGGAATAGTTTGGCTGTAGCCCTGGCAAAATGTAGTTAGATACACGTATAAAACGATCTAGTTATACATACACTGAAGTTGACTGAAGTTTTATCTTTATGCAAACATATGAAGTCAGGAGGAATGCAAGCATAAGTCACTTATAGTGTAAACATATAGTTCTAGATAATTTTTGGCATTAAACAATATATCACGTGATTAACCACGGGTCCGGATAGTCCTGTGGGTACCCGGTTCCTACTCAGTACCCACCCGACCCGAGTACCCGAGTTATAGTAGTAAGAAATGGGGAAAAGCCCGGAAAACTATGGCTTTGTGAAATGATGAGGTCAGCATTCAGGTTTTTGTAAAACGTTTTATCCTTGTTTGTTTCCTAGACATGCTCTGACCTCTACAGACATGACACTCAATATTAAAGATTAAATACAAATCCTACCATGTCACAATCATATCTACACCGCCTCCATGGTCTAGTGGTAGAGCGTCCACTGGAGAGCGGAAGGTCCGGGGTTCGATCCCATACCAAAAGACGTTAAAAGATGGTACTTGTTGTTACCCTGTCTGGCGCTCGGCATTAAGTGGGGCTAAAACAAGGACTGACTGAAAGATAAGATGCCACATCAAGCGTCCATCTTGTGAGCATGGAACCCACTGACAAAGCTGGCCCCAGGAAACTATTCATGACCAACTCGTCCCTTTCTGGGACAAGCCGAATGTAAAGGTTACGGAAATATGCCAGTGGTGACGAATGCCCAGGAGACATTATGGCTCTCACAGTTGACTGGGGTTGCGTGTAGTCCTCCTTCAGATCAACCTCCACAGAGTGGGAGTCAGTGTTTGTTTGTTGATTAACGCCACACTCAGCAATATTCCAGCTGTATGCAGCGATCTGTCAATAATCAAGTCTGGACCACCCATTCCAGTGATTGATATCATGAGCATCGATCTAGGCAATTGGGATACGATGACATGCATCAACCAAGTCAGCGACCCTGACCACCCGATCCTGTTAGTCACCTCTTACAAGCATTGTCGCCTTTTACAGTAAGCATGGGTAGCTGAAGACCATTCTTCCCTGGATCTTCACGGGTCATTGGCGTGGATGGAGTCAGTGATGGAGAGGGACACAGAGGTGCACACAGGGTGGAGTGTGAGGGACGGGCAGTTGGGGCAGGGGTTCAGAGATTTCATGTGCCTCCCAGTAGAACGTGAATCGGAATGTCAGGAGTCATACATAAATAGTGATGAAGATGATGAATCTCATGGAATGTACGGTACTGATGTTAGTTAATCAAGAAGGTGATGCAGGCTAACGTTTATCAAAAAGGCAGTGGCAGTGAGATAAAGTGGACTGTCCGGTGCATGACAGGTTGATGTAGGCAGTGCATGTACTTACTATACGTGTACTTTCTGCAATAGCATTATTACCATTTTGACAAGTATGTGAAACTAAATGTGGAAAAAAGAAAGAAATTAGAATGGTATACTTCATTTTGACATTGACATTGTTCTCTAAACCTATATTTTGTTACGTGTCGATTCCTAAAAGGAAACAATAGGTTAACCCAGAAATCTGTTCTTAAAAAAATTAGTGTGAAACCAACAAACAACCAGCAAGTGGTAAACAATCAACAGTGTATTACAGAATTAACTAGGTTTATAAATCAGTGCAAATTACTGCACAGCAATTACAATGGCAGTACATAATAGAGTGGTAGTACAATATTCAGTGACAGTATATAATATGATGGCAGTGGTCAATATCAAATACAAAAATACAGTGGTGATAGCAAAAGTCAGTGATAATAATATATTCACAGCTACAGTGGTCAGGCTTCCGAGAAAGGCCAAGGCAGGGAAACAGGGGTGATGAGTGATCATCACACGAAAGCTGGTCTTGATGTAATGAAATGTGTGAGAGAGATTGTCCTCTTATATACAGTCTTACCAGCTACTGGAAATTTCCACACAATGCCGTCACAACACATTGCATCTAAATAAAGTAACTTCCTCAAAACTGCATAAACTGTACTACATTCCTAACAACTTATCACTGTCCAAATACA